GCTTCAGCCTCCTGAGTGCTGGGATTACAGGTGTATACCACCATTTCTATTCTGTATTTTTATTAGCTTTATTGTTTTCTGTGTGGATTTTTCATATAAGCACATTCTAATCTCTGAAACTCACTTTTGTGAATGTGGTTATGAAGGGATTTAATGCTTTTTTTTGTCCTCCATGGAGTGAGCTAGTTTTTCTAGTACCATCTATTTTTTTTGTTTGTTTGTTTGTTTTGTTTTTTTTCCAGTACTGGGAATCGAACTCACGACCTCACACTTGCCAGGCAGGCACTGTGCCGCTGAGCTAAATCACCAGCCCCTCTAGTACCATCTATTAAGCAGTCTTTGAACGTCAGCATCCAAGAGGACCACCAGTGATTCTTACCTCCTTGTACCCAGCCTTTTGTCTAGTTTCCTCCCGTACTGAAGAAGGCTAACCAGTCGGAGGTTGCAGAAGTGATAGTGTGTGGCTCCTGAAGCTAGGTCAGAAAGGCATTACCACTTCTGCCTCTTTTGGGTCATTCACTCTGGGAAGCCAGCCCTTATATGAAGGCACAAGCAACCCTAGAAGAGGTTTCCCTGGTGAGGAACTGAAGCCTGCTGACAAAGGCGGCACAGACTCCCAGCTGTATGGCGGAACTGTCTCAGAAGCAGATCCTGAGCTGGGTGTGTTGCTTCCCACCTGTAACTCCCCCAAAAGGGGAGAAGCAGATCTTGCGGGCTCAGTCAAGACCAGATAATGCAGCCCTGGCCAACATCTAGGTTGCAACTTCATGAAGGACCCCAGGACAGGGCTTACCCAGCTAGGCTAGTCTTAAGTTCCTGGCCCACAGATCATGTGTGTGGTAAGAAGTGTTCAGCAGAGTTTTTTTTTTCTTTTTGTACCAAGAATCGGACTCTGGACCTTGCACTTGCCAGGCAGGCACTTGCGCCACTGAGCTATATCCCTGCCTTTATCATAGTTTTAAATTGTTAAATTTGTAGTAATCTGTTTCCCAGGAAGAGAAAACAGATTTTGGTTTCTGGAGTGTAGAGTCTGCCATGAAAAAAATCGTAAAATATGGAAGTAGCTTTAGAACTGGGAAGTGGGCAGAAGTTGGGAGGACTCTGAGCAGAATGTTGAGCCTCCTTTGGGGGAGCGGCGGTAAGAGCATCAAGAATGGTTAGGAAAATGTTACTGGAAATTGCTGGAAAGCAGATCCTGGTTATATGCAAAATAATAACATTGTCTCCTACAGTAACGTATAGTTAGGAAGAACCCTAATGAACTTGGGTGATCTAGCTAGGGAGATTCCCAGACAGAATGTTTAAGGTGCCTGAAGAAAAAACAATTGAACAAAATGCTCGAAACTGTTGGATTTGAAAATTTCCAGCCTAGCTGGGCGTGGAGGCGCATGCCTGTAATTGCAGCACTTGGGAGGCTGAGGCAGGAGGATCATTGCGAGTTCGAGACCAGCCTGGGCTACAAAGTGAGCTCAAGGCCAGCCTGACTGCATAGTGAGACTCTGTCTCAAAAAGACACACACACAGACTATATATATATCCTTTCCAGATATGTAGATAACAAATTTGTTAAAATTAACATTCTCTGACATCTAAGCAGAGGTCAAGTACAGAGCATTCTCAGGAAAACATGGTCTGAAGATGAATCTGAGACTGTGATTATAAAGTCCTTTGTGATCCCAGCACTGAGGCAGGAGAATCGCCATGAGTTCAAGGCCAGCCTGAACTAGATAGTGAGACCTTGTCTGAAAAAAAACAAAAAGAAAAGGTCCTTTGTGAGGACCTCAGAAATATCCAAGAAGATACCTCAGGACCATTTGATCAGATTATTCTGAGCCAGCTGCACTTGTGAAAAGTTGAAGGGGAATGGTGTCTTCGGTAGTCTGAGCACAGCCCGAAGGAGAGAGAGGCTTACTTCACAGAGACTCATGGCTGTGGCCTTTTCTTACGCACTAAGCCCCAAAACTTACAAGATACTCAGAATTACAGTGGCAGAAACGCTTGGACTGAAAGGCGCAGATCCCGAGTGAAGAGGGAAGAGAGGCCTTTGAGTCCCTAAACTTCTATAGACAGGAAGCAGGCTTAGGAAACTGGAGCCGCAAACATGTTTCATCGAAAAGGAAGGATGCCGCGGGCAGGAGCCGTGGAGAATCATTCCTGAACAGGGCAGGCATCAAAGAGTTCCCAGGGCCCAAGTGGATCTCGGAACCTCTAGGCTGGTGCCTTCCATGTCCCTTCTGCCTCCTCCCCTTGTGAACAAGGGGTCCTAGTGGCGGTCCTGTTTCTACTGCATATTGGCTGTGTCGGGGAGACACTTGGTTTTTTTGCAGTTCTTTAAGTAGGAAACGTCCTTCAGGCGTGATAAAGAACTATGAACCTGACCTAGAAGGCAGCGTTTTGGGCTGAGTGTCATGGTGGACCCTTTTAATTTCAGCACTGTAGGAAGCTGAGGCAGGAGGATTGCAAGTTCAAGCCTACCCTGGCTAATTTAGTGAGACCCTATCTCAAAATGTAAAAAGGATTGGGGATATAGTTCAGTGTGAGGGCCCTGGTTCACTCCCCAGCACCACAAAACCAAACACACACACACACACACACACACACACACACACACACACACACACACACGCAGCATTTTGTACTTCGAGCCACTACTGTAATGCGAATGCTTTTTGCCTGAATTGGCAGAGACCAAAGAGTGGACCATGGAGCCGACCTCTTAGGTAACCCCAGTGGTTCTTGTCCCCAAGTCTTCATTCCCTTCTACCCTGAATAGGGCTGGTGAAGTGATGTACGAGACAGTGAGTCCTGTACCTTGGTCTGTTTGGGATTATCTGCTTTGAAGAAGCCAGCTGCTGTGTTACAAAGAGGTCCACGTGGCAGGGATGAGCCGCTGTGAATTGACCAGCTCTAAGTTCCTCAGAAGTGATTCTGCCCTAGGTAGTCATGCCTTCACCTCAGACGCCCTGTTATGGTTTGTGTCTGGATGTCCACCTCCCCTCCCCAAAGCCTCATGCCGTCATTTTTGATTGATTCATGGTCCAATGGGATTATGGGTGTGAGTGCTACACCAACCCTGCACTGGATGTAGCAGGGCAGGTAGCCTGCATACAGCATAAGGGAAGAAAAGAGGCTGCTTGCTGCTGCTCCCCTTTTGCTCTTGCTGCTTTTGCTGTCTTCCACCACCATGAACTTCTGCCCTCTGCCATGTGCCACCCTGCCTTGGAGCCAGCCAAGTATGGACTGAAACCTCCACAAACTGTGAGCTACATAAACCTTTCCTTCATTTTGGGCATCAGGGATTTTGTCTCAGCAACAAGAGAAAAGTAACCAAGACACTCCCCAAGGCCTGCTGACTTTGGCTGTACAAGAAAACTCAACGCCAGAATCACCTGGCTGAGCCACTTGAAAATTCCTGGCCCTGGAAATGGAAACAATAAACTTTGTGGTGTTCATTTAAGCTTGGGGTGGTCTATTACATAGGGGTGGATAACTGTTCTGCACCCTTCCTTCCCCCGCTCACTTTTGTCTTTCTGTAAGTCGCAGGTACACACGCTGGACTGTCTCTGAGTACTCTGTTGTGTTCTGTTACATTTTGATTTTGTTTCCACACTAGAACTAAAGTATATTCATTATTTTAGCTTTGTAGGATATCTTAAAATTTGATAGAGTCTCATCTTTGTAGTTCTTTTCTAAAAATTGATTTAAGTAATTACATCCTTTTATTTATATTTACCTTAATCTTAAGGTTTTTTATTTTTTAAATTTTATTATTTTATTATTTTTATTTATTTATTTTTTGTCTTTTTGAGACAGGGTCTCACTGTGTGGTTCAGGCTGGCCTTGAGCTTATTTTGTAGCCCAGTCTGGTCTTGAACTCACAATGATCTTCCTTAGCCTCCTCAGTGCTGGAATTACAGGTGTATACCACCATGCTCGGCAGGTTTTTGGTTTTTTGAGACCAGGTCTCACTATGTAGCCCAGGCTGGCCTTGAACTCACAGTGATTCTCTTGTCTCAGCCTCCCAAGTGCTGGGATTACAGGCGTGTATTCTTTATTTTTTGAGACAAAGTCTTAACCATGTTGCTCAGGCCAGTCTCAAACTCTTCTAGGCTTATTGATCCTCTCACCTCAGCCTTCTGAGTAGCTGGGACTACAGGCATATGCCACTGCTCCAGCCTCCCATGTTAACTTTAAACCTCAAGAGTGTCTCAGAAAAACCTCTGGAATTCACACTAGAATTGCACATTTAGTTTTCAAGATTGGGTGAGGTAAGGGGTTTTGGCATGAAGATTCTAGAAGACAGAGAAGAGAACCCACGTAGCCAAGCATGGTGATACACACACCTGTAATCCCAGCACTCAGAAGGCTGAGGCAGGAGGATTTTGAACTCAAGGGCAACGTGGACTTCATAGAAATAACCTGTCTCTAAAACAAAAACAACCTTTGATTCGGATTCCTTCTCAGCCTCAGCCTGCCTAACCAGGGTTCAGCGCATACCTATTGAGCACTTATTTACGTAGTAGAAACTTGCTCCCCAGGTAGCAAGGGACAGGCTGTAATCAAGTTACAGAAAGTTAGGAAATGTCAGGCACTTGAGTGCCGTGAGGGAAACGAACCAGTAACACGAAGTGGAAGGGGCAGAGGGGCTGCTTGAGGCGGGGCACCGAGGAGCCAGGACTGGTGCTTTGCGGGGGCGCTCTGCACTGAGGTCTGGGTGGCACACGGAGCCAGCTGTGGACGCAGCTGTGTGAGAACAGCGGCCCGGCACCAGGGTGGGCCCAGCTTGATGTGGAAGGAACAAGACGGGCCGGAGAGCCGGAGCCCCAGGCAGCACGGGAGAGTGGCGGAGCTGAGATCAGAGAGGTTGGGTCCTGCGGACTCCTAGACCACTAAGGGGTCTGGGTTTTTGACCCTAAGGCCCACTAGCAACTCCTAATGGCCTTTAAGCGCGGGTGTGAGTGACTGGTTGTGCTGTTAACTACCTTCCGCTTCTTTCCCAGCAAAAAAGGGAGAACCTGTCCCCGCTCTGCCTCATCCCCACGGTGACATCTCCCCGGGAGGAGCAGCAGCTCCTGGCCAGCACCTCCAAGGTGAGGCCCCCAGCACTGCGGGGTGGTGCTGAGGGCTTGTCCTGCAGCCTGACCCCGTGCTTCTTCCCCTCTGCCCCGACAGCCCGTGGTGAAGCTCCTGCACAACCGCAGTAACAACAAGTACTCCTACACCAGGTGACCGCGCGGGGCCTGCGTGTGGGCACATCGGCCTGTGGGGTGGGAGCCTGCCCTGCTCCTGGCCCAAGGGAGGGCTTCGTCCGTGCAGAGGGCCCAGGGATCCCTGATGCCCTTCGCAGCTCTGCCACGTGCCTGCTGGGCACCTCGGGCAGGTCACCCCCTTCTGAGCCTGTGTTATCATCAGGAAGCTGGAATTTGGACAAGGACCAAACAATGGCTGGAGCAAGGGCAGTGGTACCTGGGTTCACAAACACTTCGCCTTGCAAGCAGAAGCTTTTGGCAAAATTCTGTTCTTGTTTACAAACTCTGCATCAAGTGACAAATACGGCCGCGGCCATCTTTACTACACAAACACAAACGTTGCCATCTATTCCAAAATCGTAGAGCAAAGTAAGTGCGTGAACCACAGTACACTGTAGTTTTTTTGTTTTTTTTTTTTATCTTTTTGAGACAGGGTCTCACTATGCAGTTTGAGCTGGCCTCAAACTCACTTTGTAGCCCAGGCTGGCCTTGAATTTACAACGATCCTCCTGCCTCAGCCTCCTGAGTGCTGGGATTACAGGCGTGCACCACCACAGCAGGTGGCAAAATTTTGTTCTTGTTTACAAACTGCATCAAGTGACAAACATGACCGTGGCCATCTTTCCCACACAAACACAAATGTTGCCATCTATTCCAGAGTCATAGAACGAATTTAAGTTTGTGAACCACAGTACACGGTAGTTATTTTCACACTACATCTAAGAGCTCTCCCCGTTAACTTTCACAACCCTCCTGACGCTTGAGGTAGCTGTTACCTCCATTTGCAGATAAGGAGACCGAGGCACCAAAAGCTGAGGTAACTTGCCCCATGGCACTCAGTGAGGGAGTGGCAGAGCTGCAATGGTAGCTGGGCTCAGGAGACTCCCTGGAGCCACTGTGCTGGCACCTGCTCAGCAAGTGCTGCTTACCTTCGGAGGCTCCTTTGGAGCAGAAGCACATGGGACCCAGGTGCCCCATCCCGGGGAGACCAGAGGGAGCGAACCCAGTCATGCTGAGGCCGCCTGGCCTCTGTCCTCAGCACTTCAGATGACAACCTACTTAAGAACATCGAGCTGTTTGACAAGCTGGCCCTGCGCTTCCACGGGCGGCTGCTCTTCCTCAAGGACGTCCTGGGGGACGAGATCTGCTGCTGGTCTTTCTATGGGCAGGGTCGCAAGATCGCCGAGGTGTGCTGCACCTCCATTGTCTATGCCACTGAGAAGAAGCAGACCAAGGTCAGAGGGGTGCAGGACCTGAACAGGGAGGGCATGGGGTTGGCAAGACCAGGACCCTAGTCAGAGGCAGCGAGGCAGGCCAGGGAGGGAGAGTCCTGCAGTGGGAGTCGGGGGCTAAAATTCCGGGGCTTGGTCTGTAACTTGGGCGAGTGGTCTCCATTTCTTGACCTGCGAAATGAGGGGTTTGGATCACAGCGGGGTTTGGTTTTGCTTTGTTTTTGATGCTGCAGATTGGACCGGGGGCCTTGCATAGAGTAGTGTTGTTTTTCCTCTCTTTTTTATTTTTTAAATTTTGTGGCCCTGGGAATTGAAGCCAAGGATGTGATCTGCCCCTGAGCTGCATCCTCAGCCTGAGCAGGTTTGTGTGCAGTTTTCTGTGTAGAAGGTCTGTGGTGCCCTTTAGAATCTTGGACCACTTAGAACACAGCTGGGTTTGCAGATCACGCCTTGTGAACGTGACAGTCATCTGCAGATACTTCCTGAGCACCTGCTCTGCCCTGAGCATAACCGTGGGCATCAGAGTGCTGAGGAAAGTGCCCCTCCTTGCCCATCCTTCGAAGCCCAATAAGAGAGCTGCTTTAGGTGCACCACATCCCTGCCAGTCTCTCAGCACCCAAAGTTCTTTCACACCTCCTACCTATTCCCACTTCTTGGAATTTTCTTTCCCCATACCTATCTGCCTAGTGAGCTTGTATTTTTTTGTTTGTTTGTCTTTGTCTTTTTGAGACAGGGTCTCACTATGTAGTTCAGGCTGGCTTTGAGCTCACTGTATAGTCCAGGCTGGTCTCAAACTTGCAATAGTCCTCCTGCCTCAGCCTCCCAAGTGCTAGGATTACAGGCATGCACCACCATGCCTGGCTGTTTGTATGGTTTTGTCGTTTTTTCAGACAGGGTTTTACTATGCAGTTCAGGCTGGCCTCGGATGCACTATGTAGCTCACGGTGGCCTTGAGCTCATTGTGATCCTCCTGCCTCAGCCTCATAAGTGCTGGGTTTACAGGTGTGTGCCACTACGCCTAGCTCTGTACTTAATATTTATAACACAAGCTAAACATCATTTTCCCCCTGGGACAGCTTTGCTTATAACTTCAACCCAGACACTTCAGACAAAGCTAGTAATGCTCCCTTCTTAGCCGGAGACAGTGTTTATTGTAGTCTGTGATTTGGGGGAGGGATTGCTGCCCGAGGGCACTGCTGTACCTTTTTCTTTCTATCCCCTTAATACTAGCCTAGTCCTTGACTGATCAAGGAAACATGCTTAGAATGTGCAGATGAATGAGTGAGTGACTCAGCTTTCAGGAGGTTTCTTCTGCAGTTGGAGAGATAAGACAGACCAATAATTAGAATACAGCTTCAGAGCTATGTTCATCGCACCCTTCCGGGACTCCTCCGTGGGCTGCCCAGTCACTTCTTCCACTTCATTCCTTTCTGTTCCTTCGTCACTCTGCCTCAGTGGCCTTGGCCTCCCTGCTGATCTGTGATCTGTACACTGGGCACATTCCCGACCCAGAGCTTTCACCCTGCTGCTGCTCCCCAGCCTGCTTTCTCCAGCTGTCCACCTGTTTTGCTCCCTCCCGGCTTGCGTCAAATACCACCTTCCCAATGAGGCCTTCCCTGAACTAACTCCCTGTTGGAAAGTGTGGCTCTCCTGGCCAGGGCCATTCTCACCCTGATCTATTCCGCGCAGCATTCGTCCTCTAACTGTGTTTATGCTTCGTTGCATGTGTCCGAGTCCTCCCCCAGAATGCAGCCTTGCTGAGAGCAAGCGCTTCTGTCAGTTCTGTTCACTGATTGCTTCCCCGCTCCTAGAACAAGCCTGGCCTAGTGCAGTGAGTCCGTAAGTAATTGTCCAGTGAGAACAGACCGAGAGACTTGGCAGTGAAGGGCAGAAGAGAATCGTTCTGCCTGCCTGGGTTCAGAGCTGGGCCTTGATCAGGACTTCGCCAGGTAACGCAGTTGCAGCGAGAACAGTGAAGGCCTGAGAGCCAGCGCACAGAGGCTGGGAGCCGTGTGGTGCGGGGGCTGCCAGCAAGGGGCTGTGACGCCGGACTAGAGGGAGGAGCTGGTCACTGCTGGCCTTTTGCAGGTGGAATTCCCAGAGGCCCGGATCTTCGAGGAGACCCTGAATATCCTGATCTATGAGACGCCCCGGGGCCCAGACCCAGCCCTCCTGGAGGCCACAGGGGGTGCGGCTGGAGGTGGTGGCGCGGGCCGAGGGGAAGACGAGGAGAACAGAGAGCACCGCGTCCGCAGGATCCATGTCCGGCGCCACATCACCCACGACGAGCGTCCCCATGGCCAGCAGATCGTCTTCAAGGACTGACTTGGACCCTGCCCTTGCCTCCGGCTTCAGGACCCAGCCCCTCCCGCCCTGTTCTCCCTTGCCCCTGTCTTCGCCCCGGCTCTGCTGGCCAAGTCGCGGGTCTTCGTTCTGCCCCCTCGCTGCATGGTGCGGTTCGCCTTGACCCTGTCCTCCCTCCTACTCAGCGCTAACACCGTCCATTCCAGCCCCTCCCCGCAGGCAGAGCCCTTCGGAAGGCGACGTTCACCCCTTCCTCACCACTCCTGCCCCGCGGTCTCCTCTCGCCAGCTGGTCAGGAGGACTCAGAATTCCCTTTCTCTTTTTTTAGTTCCTTGTACACAAAAGTGTTGAGCCAGCCCTTCGGAACCTCACCGGCTCTGAGCCGCCTCCAGCCAGCGCCTCCTGCCTGCGCTCCCCTCCCTGCTTCCTTAAGTTTGTCCTAGGCTGGCCTGTCCCCGCTCAGCTGTCTTCTTGATCTGTTTCATATTATTTATTGTTTTAATTTTCTATTAAATTATTGGAATAAAGTTGAGTTGAGGATCTGCTGCTGGCTCCCAGGGAGGAAACAGGAAAATGGCCTGCATTAAGGAGATACCTCCTAGTTTCATGGCGGAAGATAGGAGCCCTCATCCCAAGCCCTTCTTGGGGCGGGTAGCTGGGAAGGAAGAACTCGGGAGTTAGGAGAGGATTCAGAGTTTATATTTCCGTGCTCCCTGGCCAGTTCCCACCCTCAGCCCTCTTGCCCCAGCCGTGGGGGGAGCTCCCGGCTGCCGCTCAAGCTGTCCCCCGTGCAGCCTCCGGCCCAGGTGTCTGAGCGCAGCACCTTCCTTCAAGGGTCTGGTGCGAAGACAAAGTCGAGGGCCTGGCGCTCGGCCCCAGCCACGTTGGGATGCCAGAGGTCCACAATGAAGACCACGCGAGGGCCGTCTTCAGGGGAGCCTAGGGCACACGGGGGTGGAAACAGGAGGACGGCTGGCAGTTAAGTACTTCTCTGCCAGAGCATCCACCAGACACTGAGGAAAGCAAAAACTGAGTGAGTGTCAGGCCTTGTTCTAACCCTTCCACGTAAGGCCTCACAGTCATCAACACAAAGCGTGAGGTAGTACCATAGCTATCCCTGAAGCATAACAAGATTCAAGTAACCTGCCCAGGTCCCACAGCTCCTGAGCAGGAGGTAGGACAGCCGTCTAGGTGACCAAAGCCAGCGCCCTATGCTGACGCACGCTGTATGCCCTGATACAGCTCACTTTCTTGTAGTCACTGATAAAGACGGTAGCTACCCCATGGGTGAAGGGAGGGTTTATGCGACTTGCTCAGGGCCGTGCAGCCGGAAAATGGCGGTGCTGGGACAGGAAGTCAAGCAGACCTGATTGTGTGGCCCTCCAGTCCCCATGGCTTGGCCCTACACCCCTACCCTTAGCCAAATAGGTCCCCATTACCATTGTGAGCCACTGTGTACAGGAAGGAGTCGTCCACCAGGAGGCAGTGCCCCTCTGCCCAGCACTGGGGCTCACCCCCGACAACCAGCTCACAGCCCGGCGGGATCTTCAGGCCTGTGGGAGGAGAGCAGGCGTCCCATACCCTGCCTCTGTCCAAGGAGCCTGCCCTGTTCAGCCAGTAGATCTAAGGGCCTTAGAGATCAGGCTCTCTGGTTGTGTCCTGGTCTCTGGAAGGTGACAGTTCAGTCACAACAGAGCCCTGGATGAAAAGAGAGCTAAGGAAGGGAGGTGCTGCTGTGGGAAGCATAGCCCATGACAGAGAAGAGAAGGCTTCCTAGAGCACATGGGCATGTCCCCTTTGGCTTCCCCACAATTCACATCAAGAACCTACTGTATGCTGGGTGCCGTCGCCCCATAAGTTACGACCGAGGATTCCATCCTGGCCCAAGGACCACATGGAATGTGGTAAGAACACTTTGCAGCCAACTCGGTTTTCGTTTTTTTTTTTTGTTTGTTTTTCTCCGGTACCGGGAACCGAACTCACGACCTTGCACTTGCCAGGCAGGGGCTTTGCCGCTGAGCTAAATCCCCAGCCCCTTTCAGCCAGCTCAGATGCTGGGGAACAGGAAGGCATCCCAGGAGCAGGCGTGGCATTTGAAAATGCACCCAAAGCCTGAGTAGTTTTGTAGAGGGGATAGGGAGGAAGTTAGTTATTCTACGCTGAAAGCTCAACATCTAAGTAGCAGCTGCTGGGACTAGCCAGAGCACCTTCAGGAGACTACAGTGGGAAGGAGTGGGAGGAAGGATCTGGCCTTGATCCTGAGGCCAGGGAGCCCTGAGGTACAAGACACCTCCAACTGGCACACAGGAAGTGATCTGGGATGAGTCAAGGTCATAACATAGAATAACAATCAGAAAATCGATTTCCATTTTCTTTAAACATCAAAAAGGAAGTCTCAGTTTAGCGCCACTGGGACATCAACACCCCATTAACATTGCTACCTTTTTGATGAAGAAAGTGTAGGTTTCAAGCCTGCAATGATTTAGAGTTAGCTAAAATATTTAAGCCTTCCTCTTTTTTTTTTTTTTGAATAGCACTGGGGACTGAACCAGGATCTTCACACTGAGTTACATCTTCAGACCTTTTTTTTTTTTTTTTTTTGAGACAAGGTCTCACTATGCAGTTCAGGCTGGCCTTGAGCTCACTTTGTAGCCCAGGCTGGTCTCGAACTCGCAAGGATCGTCCTGCCTCAGCCTCCTGAGTGCTGGGGTTACCCGCATGCGCCACCATGCCCAGCGCCCAGACTCTTCATTTGTGAGACAGGGTGTTGCTAAGTCACTAAACTGGCAAGGATCAAACTTACAATCTTCCTGCCTCAGCTTCCCCGAGTGTTGGTATTTCAGGTGTGGGCCACTACACCCAGTTTAATTACAGCTCTCTTTTTTTAAAACTTAAGTTTAGGAGCCCTTTCTAATTAGAGCAAGTAATATTGATATCACTTACGGTTCCATAAAGATTCCTTTTCAATAAACTCAAAGAATCAGTGTGACAGGATGTAGCAGAGAAGGTCAATGACTGGCATAAGTTATGCTCACGGTTCCCATAGTGAACTCAGGAAGTGTTGCTATGGGCAACAGGGAGTCACAGGTTTCCAAGAGAGGTGTGATGAGAAGGACAGTGTGGAAAAGTCTAGTGGCAAAGAAGAGGGTCTGGAGGGCAGCTGTGGAAGCAAGGAGGTGTCTGTAGGCAGGATCTACTTACCCAGATGGCATCTGACTCGAGCATTGGTGGGCCCGCAGCGGCTCTCGAGCCGGGCCCCAGGCAGGAGGACAGAAAAGCCAGCGTTGCCGAAGGTGTTGGCGCTCATGAAGCTCCGCAGCCCCCTCAGTGCCCGGTAGGCTCCTGGGCACCGGCGGCAGTTGTTGGGTTGGCACCGGCCTGCTTGGTACAGCAGGAGCTGGTAGCACCCTGGAGCCAGGGGCGGGGACCAGCCCCGAGGCAGAGGGGTAGTCCCTGAGAAGTCCCAGCTCACAGCCCCGAAGTCCCGCAAAATGGCAGGGAAGCTGCTCTCCAGGAGTTCCACATCGTGCCGCTGGGCATCCCGTGGCACAAAGGGGGCCGAAGGCAGGTCTGGTAGGAAAAGCAGGCCTGGGCGCTGAATGCCCAGGGCCCCTGGGCCTCCCCCAAAGCCTGGGCCACCTTGAGCTGCCCTCCTCACCCTACCCATCCCAGCCCAGGAGTAGCGCCTGGCATAGGCCCGAAGTCGACGGCTCACTAGGCCTTCTGTCCTGGGTCCTTCCCCAGGCTCCTCTACGCGCCCCAGGCCTGGCCTGCCAGCCTCAGGGCACCGCCCGGGCCCACCACTGAAGCCTCCAGCCTGGCTCCTAGCACCCAGGCCCTGCACGTCTTGGGAGCCCAGGCGGTAACAGTACCAGAGGAACAGGGAGGTGAGGGCCCCAAGGAGCAAGGTCATGGCTGAGGAGGCCAGGGGCAGTGGCCATGGCAGCACGATGGGCAGGGAGGCCCTGGCCAAGAGGCCTGGGGCATCTTCTGGACCCCAGCTCCCTTGGCCCCCCAGCTCTCCACCTAGCGCCTCCATCGCTGCCTCCTGGTTCCCTGCTGGGCCGTTTCCCTTCCACATTCCCACTCTCGGTTCCTTCTCTCCTTCTCTGGTCTTGTCTCCACGTTGTGTTCTCTCCCCTTCCTGCAGGTGCCTCGAACCGCGCTTTCCTTCTAGCTCTCTCCTCTCTGCCTCTTCCTCCCTCTTCCTCCGGGCACCTGTCTCCCCGCGACTCCGTCCCGCCCTTCCTCCAGGGCCCTCTGCCTCTCTCGCCTTTCTCCTCCCGCGGCGTCTCCTCTCCCTCTGTCTCTCCTCTCCTCACCTTCTCGGCCTCCACTCTCCTCTCCTCCCTCCACCGCCCCTCCTCTCGCTCGCTGTCTCTGCCCGCTTTTCTTCTGGCTTCCGCACACAGCAGTTTCTGCCCCACCTGGACCCGCAGCCCCGAGACCCTGAAGCCCGTCTTCCTCCGTGGCGGTTCTCCGTCTCCTCCTCCCTCCCTCCTCTCTCCGCGCCCCCGCTCTTCCCTCGACCCGACCCTCCGGTCCTGCCTCTCTCTCGCTCCCTCTCCTACTCGCTCGTTCCTTCGCCCCCACTCACCCTGACGTCACTCCTTCCTGCAGCCCTCTCTGCTTAGCCACCTCCGACCCCTCCCCGCGACGGCCGCAGCGCAGCCCTGGGGGAGGGGGACTCATCTCTGCATTTGCCTCCCCGCCCCCTCAGCCCAGGCCGGGCGCCACGTGGGGTGCAGGGGGCACCGTGCCAACCCCCAGCCGCCCCGCAATGCGAAAAGCAGGGCGGGGCCTGGGAAGGGGCGGGGACATCGGGGGCGGGGCGGGAGCGAGGATTTGACAGACGGGGCCGGTGCTCCCCGACAGCGGGCGGGCAGGGTGGCAGCCGCCCCGCCGTTCGGTGGGTCCGCAGGTCCCCCGAGCTTGCGCCTCCACCTCCCCTTGGGCTTTCGCGGGAGCCAGCCCCCGGCGCGGGCCGGACGGCAGCGACAGCGGCTTTGGCCAATCGCCGGGCGCGCCGGGGGACTCGCAGGGGCGGGGCAGGAGCTGTCCTCACCCGGCGGTGCTGAAAAAGGGAGCTCCCGAGATAATCGGAGCCGAGGCCGCGGGCCACTGGCGGGGGGCACGCTGTCTTTAAGGACAGAGGTCCCTCCTCCCCAGCTCTGGCCTGTCACCTCTTAGACGCTTCGAAACCTCGCCATTCTCCTGGGGAAGGGAAAGCCCCTTCCACTGTTAAGCTTCTACAAAAGGCGAAGTCTTACGGGGATCCGGATATGGACTGACAGCATATTGGGGGACCGAGCGGTGCAACCCCTTGGCGCCCTGGGAGGAGGAGACTCAGGTTCCAGATGTGCTGGAATGGAGGGGGCAGGGTGCTAATGACTTCTGGGGCCAGAGAGTTGCCTTTGCCTCCCCTAGAGGCCGCGGGAGTGAGGATTACGGTTCTAGCTCCCGAGCCCTCCTTCCTCCATCTGCACTTCCTCCTCCGCCCTCCTCCGCAAATAAATCCCAGGCCCCTCCCTTCGCCCGTCCCCAGGATCTGACGTGGGCTCGACACCTTTTTCAGCCTGTCCCTCCCGCAGTTCTAGTGCCCGAGCTTCGGCTCTCCGGGTTCTGCAACCCTTTCCTTTCCTGACAATCCCCGCTAGAGCCCAGGGGGTACCCTCCCAGTTCTCAGCCCCACCCAGGCCCCCGGACGCTGCCTTCCTGTGCCCCACTCCCCTGGCTTGGGATCCAACCAGCCCGGGGGACCCAGGCGCCCGAACGGGAGGGTAACCTTCGGCCCTCTCGGCCCCACCCCCTGCAGCTAGAGCCGCGCCCCCTTCTACCACAGACCCCAGAGCGAAGGACAGAGATTGAGGCAAGGGGGGTGGATTCCAGGCAACCAACCCCTAGCCCAATTCTGCCCCTCCATCCCAAGGGGCACAGAAATTGTCTTCTTTTACTGACTCCCGAGCAGGAAAGCAAAATCAAAGGGAAAAATAAAAGGACACGGAGGAAAAGTGGCAACTAGATTATTTAGGAGAGGCGCAGAGGAGACTGGGTGAGTCGCCATGGGGACTCCCAAGGCCCAGCACCCGCCGCCTCCCCAGCTGCTGTTCCTAATTCTGCTGAGCTGTCCCTGGATTCAGGGTAAGGACATAGGGTGTGGGGGTGGGCCTCGGGAAGGTGGGGGGGATCATCTACCTTTTTTCTCCAAACAACCTGGGTCGTCTGAGCTCGTGGGGGAGGGAGGAGCACAGTCGACCGCGAAGGGGACGTGAAGGCTCTCTGCTGTGCCTGGAGCCCCTTGACCCCTAATGTCGAGGAGGAGGGGAAAGGGATGACCGGGCAGTTAGCAGCACCTTAGGGGTTAAATCCAGGAAGAAGGGCTGGGGAAGTTGGGGGGATGTCTGCGGAGGCGGCAGAAGCATGCAGGGTACCTGGGTGGGAGATGGAGGTGTCGGGAGAGACGCCAGGCACTGCACACACAAATGCTCTTGGACATATGGACAAAGACGGATGAACAGAGGCAGGGCTCAGATACCAGATATTCAGCCCCTCACTTCTCGCTAACCCGTAGCCAGACTCTGGCAAAGGAGACAGACTGGAGAAGGAGAGAGAATGAAAGAGAGGAGGAGGAGAGAGGAGAGAGAGAGAGAGAGAACAAGAGAACGGCTACACTGCAGAGACCCAGAGAGAGAAAGCTGGGCACTGCGGAGCAAGGGCTGGGAGGTGCCGCCAGACCCTTCCCGGAGCCCCAGGGTTGTGAGAGCCCCACTGAGGGTAAAAGGAGGGCAACTCCCAAAACCCCATTCTCCCCCCGCGGGCGCTGTCCAAGGTGCTTAAGAACCAAGGTACTCGCTAAAAGACTCACAGCCCTGGGTGGTTGAGGGGGAGAGCGAGGTACAGGAGTGTGCGAGACAGCTGGGAGCCTCTCCTCTGATCTTGGCCTTCAGCCCAGCCTAGGACCCTCTCAGCCGTTGTAGGCCCAGCCGTTGCAGAGGGAAGATCTCTGGAGAAGGTCTCTCTGGAGAAGGAGGGGATGTGGAGAGTCGAGAGGCTCACTGAACTTCACCTCCTCCCAGGTCTGCCCCTGAAGGAGGAGGAGGCACTGCCGGAACCTGCAAGTGAGACCCCCACAGTGGCCTCTGAGGCCCTGGCTGAGTTGCTTCATGGGGCCCTGCTGCGGAAGGGCCCGGAGATAGGCTACTTGCCGGGTAAGGCCCCCAGCGTGGCGCGAGCGGCATAGCGGTGGTGAGAGAGGAGACGGGGGCCAGGCCCGGAGAGAGAAGCTGCAGAAGGAGCAGGACACCCCGCTACACCCGTGCCCAGGGAGATTCAGAGGGAGACAAGCAGAGAGTGAGGCTGGGCATGGACAGAAACAGAAGTACAGACCGTGAGTAAGAGACAGGCAGAGAAAAGACAGAAATAGATGGGAATTCAGAGAAGTGGAGAGGGGGGCGGGGGCCAGAGAGAGGGAGAGTCAAACAGAGAAACTAGTAGGTTCTAGTAGATTTAGAATCGTAAAATCAGAGGGCAGGAAGAATAATAAACAGAGAAATAAAGAGCTCCAGAAAGAGCAAGACGGAGCGGGGGGGAAGGTGTCAAGGACAGCCAGACCTAGTGGGAGGTAGGGAGAGGCTCCAGGGACGCTGTCAGGGTGGAGGGGCCCGGGGGAGGGGGAGAGGGAGGGGAAGGGGAGGGGCCTGGGGGAGGGCGAGGGGAGGGGGCCACGCTGCGCAAGCTTGGGAATTGGTGGGGAGTTTGGGTGACAAAGGGAAAGATGGGGGCTTTTGCCCGGTGAGGAGGGTTCCGTGGAGGAATCCTCCGTTTCCCTCCGCCCGCTCCCCACCCCGCCAGCCAACTCCTTTTCGTGACTTTCCTTGCATTCATTCGCCCAGGACCTGATCCAGACCCCACACTAGCCACCCCTCCAGCCGGCCAGACTCTCGCAGCACCCTCCCTGCCACGGGCCACTGAGCCGGGGACAGGGCCTCTGACCACAGCTGTAACCCCTAAAGGGGTCAGGGGGGCAGGACCCACGGCCCCGGAGCTGCTGACCCCGCCCCCGGGCACCACGGCCACGCCCCCTCCCGGCCCCGCCTCCCCAGTCCCGCCCCTCGGTCCGGAGGGCGGCGAGGAGGAGACCACTACTACCATCATCACCACGACAACTGTCACCACTACAGTCACCAGCCCAGGTGAGGCTATGGGAAAGGGGTGGGCGCGATGTCCAGGAGCAGCACAGCGGTGGGAAGAGAAAGCTGGGGATGCATGGAGGAAAGACTGCCTGGAACCTGAGGAGGACGCTGTAGGCACTATGGGAAAGGACTTTGAGCTCGCATTTCTATACCCTTAGTGTGCGCCAGGCGCTGGTCCAGGTGTTCTGTCATTATTACAGCGGGGGCGGGGCTCTCAGTCCAGGGTGGGGAGGAGCATTGAATAAAGATGGTGAGGGTCCTGGGGAGAAGATAGATGAAGACCTTTGGGGCTGCTTCGCTGGGAGGGCAAGGGCACAGGGCCGCTCTCAACCCCAGCTGCTTGTATCCCTCCAGTTCTGTGTAATAACAACATCTCGGAGGGCGAAGGGTTTGTGGAGTCTCCAGATTTCAGCAGCCCCTCCAGCCGCACGCTGGGGCTCCTGGACTGCACCTACAGCATCCACGTCTACCCTGGCTATGGCATTGAGATCCAGGTAACTGGACCTGAGTGTAAGACTGGGCGACTTCCAAGCCCTTTCCTCTGGGCCCATTCAGTGCGCACAGGTTTGGCCTGGGAGCCAGAGAGCTTGTTTCCCGTCTCACACGGGCCTGTTTTCTGACTCAGACGACCTTGGAAACTCTCCTAGGGCCCACAACATGGGCAATGTCCCTGTGGTTTTGAGGGCGGCAACAGAGGGGAAAAGGAAGGCAGAGGACATCGTGTTTCCTCCAGTTGACTCGCTCCGGCCTTTGTCTGGCTTCTTCAGGTGCAGACACTGAACCTGTCTCAGGAGGAGGAGCTCCTTGTGCTGGCTGGCGGGGGGTCCCCAGGCCTGGCACCCCGAGTCCTAGCCAACTCCTCCATGCTGGGAGAAGGACAGGTCCTTCGGAGCCCAACCAACCGGCTGCTTCTGCACTTCCAGAGCCCACGGGCCCCAAGGGGAGGTGGCTTCAGGATCCACTATCAGGGTGAGGAGTCTAAGGGTATTGGGAAGGGCAGGGGCCACACTGGACATTAGGGATATCTCTGGGGGCCTTGCAAGCACAGAGTACTGTGGGGACTCTTCCTTCTCAGTGGGATCTTGGGGAGCAGGACCCTCCGAAGAGACCAATGCACACTTATCTCACGTACTCTGAGCATGCACATATCCAAGTGCCAATTCATCCATTCAAATGGACACACCTTGTGTTGTTACTTTATACCAAACCTTATTGTTAGCCTTGAGGAGAGGAATCAATGATTCAAGTGCTAATCTGACTTCAGGGAACCCAGAATCTGGGTAGAGAGACAGACAAGGAACTCAGATGGTTATAATTTATTGAGATAAGGGCTGTAATGAGGGGAACACAGGCAGAGGGAGCAAATATAAAAAGGGACCTACATTTTTTCCAAAGACTATGGGGAAGGCCAGGCGTGGTGGCGCACGCCTGTAATCCCAGCACTTGGGAGGCTGAGGCAGGAGGATTGTTGCGAGTGCAAGACCAGCCTGGGCTACAAAGTGAGCTCAAGGCCAGCCTGAACTGTATAGTGAGACCCTGTCTCAAAAAGACAAAAAAAAAAAAAAAAGACTACGGGGAAACCTTTTTGGAGGAGGTATGACAAAGCGGAGACCCAAGGGATGAGTTAGTTAGCCAAGGGAAAGATGGAAGGAAAGAAAAGAAAGAAACAGCTGTCCAGGCGGATGGAAAAGCCCATTCCAAGTCCCAGAGAGAGAAGAAAATGTCGATCCTAGACAGGAATAATTTAATATGAAGATAGAATTGTCCTGGCTGTGCAACCTGGGACAATTGACTTAACTTTTATGAGCTTCATGATCTCCTTTGAAAAATAGGGCCAGGTGTGATGGTGCATGTATGCCTGTAATGCCAGCACTTGGGAAGCTAAGGCAGGAGGGTTGCTGCGATTTTGAGGCTAGCCTGAGCTACATAGTGAGACCCTGCCTAAAACCCCCTCAAAGAAGTAAGAAAAATAGGGATCAAGCTAGACATGGTGCCCAACACCCCTAATTCCAGCCTTCAGGGAGGCTGAGGCAAGAGGATCACAAGTTTTAGCTCAGCGGGGACAATTTAGTGGCTTAGTGAGACCCTGTCTCAAAACAAAAAATAAAAATGGTTGAGGATATATAAGGTCCTGGGTTTAATCCCTAGTATCCAATCACAATTATAATACTTATTGCATGGTATTATTAGGAAGATCACATGTAACTTAATACATGTCAAGTGCTTAAAGCAGTGTCTGGTACACAGTAAGAGCTCAGAAATATCAGTTTATTAGAGGCAAAGTACAGGAAGTTATGGGGAGAAACGGGCTAAGAAACCCTACTGGGAGACAGGTTGGATGTAGATCATAAAGGACCTTATCGGTTCAGACAATTTTAAACTGCAGATGAGAGGGAGACAGGGCCAGGGATATAGCTCAGTGGCATACGCGCATGCCTGGCAGTGCAAGGTCCTGAGTTTGACTCCCAGTACAAAAAAAAAAAAAAAAAAAAACACAAATTTGGGCTGGGGGTATAGCTCAGTGGCATAAGCGCGTGCCTGGCAGCGCAAGGTCCTGAGTTCGATTCCCAGTACAAAAAATATATACAAAAAAAAAAGAGAGAGAGGGAGACATTTGACAGTCTCAGATTGTCACTTCTGACTTCAGGGGGCAAGAAAGGGAGGACACGACTGCATTCCCACGCTACCTGTGTGCGTGGGAAACTCCCCGCCGTGCAGGTGTGAGGTCTAGCACCCCTGTATGCACAAAGCAAAGGGCTCGCCAGTGTCCCAATTCCAGACACTTCCGTCTTCTCCCAGGTGCGCTGGAAACAGGGGGACCTGTGTGTCGGGCCAGTTTCCCCTTCGCCTCACTTTACGGCTTCACTGGGCTGCATGTGCCTGCTCGCCTTGGGAACTCGGCTGGCCCCAGATGCCTGTGCATCTCGTCCAGGACACAGCTTGCACCCTGTGTCCTTCCTGGCGCCTCCTGCGCCTGTGCTTGGGGTCTTCCCGGCGGCTTGTCAGGCAAGGTGGTAGCCCTGTGAAGAGGCCAGTAAGCTGTGGGCAAGTACGTGTGCTAGAGACCCGGTTGCCGGGGCACAAGAGCATGTCTTGGGGCCTAGTGCTGAGGACTGGACTTCAGATATCACAAAAACGGATTCCCGCTGGCTGCTTCAAGCAGTCATTTCCCTCGGGCATTGAAAATAGGACTCATAGGCTAAGTGGAGCATTTGGGGAAGCCGGGTTACTGCAGCAACTGGCCTTCATTACCTGCCTCGGTTTTCTCTGCTTTGCAGCTCCTCCAGGCACCGTTGGGACCGAAGCCCTGTTTCGGCCCTTCCCAACCTGCACTAACTGGAGCTCTGTTCCAGCACGGCCTCATTAGCTTCTCCGAAAGGCCGGGGCCCCGCCAGCCCTCACCCAAGCCCAGCAAACTTGTTCACAGGCGGAGTCTGTTCCCCAACCACTGTACTTCTCACAGAACCCCCCAGGTATTGTCAGCTCCATCCCTCAGAGGAAGAGAAAGACCCACAGGTCATGTGGATTTCTCAGCTACCTGCAAATTATCATGGAGTGAGAAATCAGACCCCCGAGTCCCTGCCTCCGCTCTTGTGGGGCGATGAACTTGTTCTGAGCGCCTTCTGTGTACTGGGAGCCTTCAGTGTTTCTTTTATTTAATGTTCAGGCTGGTCCTCATGGATAGGAATAATTGCCATTAATGAGTGAGGGGTCTCAGTGGTGAAGTCACCTGCTCAAGTCATGTCACTAATAAGTATGGAGCTAGAACTAGAACACAGGTCAGTGTGTCTCCAAATTGATCAGCCAGCTCAGGCTTTTTTTTTCTTTTTTCGAGACAGGGTCTCCTTATGCAGGTCAGGTTGGCCTTGAGCTCACTTTGTAGCCCAGGCTGGTCTCCCTCACAATGATCCTCCTGCCTCAGCCTCCCGAGTGCTGGGATTACAGGCCTGCACCACCACACCCTGCCTAGCCTAGGCTTTTAGAAGATAAGACAAACAAATCTTTTTAAGTGTCACAGCAACAATAGACTGGTTATTGTGATGGCAAAGTTATGCATGTGAACTTATACACATGGCGGTGCTTGCCTATAATCCCAGAACTCAGGAGGCAGAGGCAGGAGAGTTGCAAGTTCAAGGCCAGCCTGGACAACTAAGCAACACCCTGAGTCAAAAAAATAGAAAAAAATTGCATATACGTAAGACAACAACTAAGTATTGGAAGTAGTACAGTCAGGTAGACTTCGTGGAAGGGATGGTACTTAAGTTACTTTTTGGTTGTTGTTGTTTTTGTTTTGTTTTGTTGTTTTTTGTGGGTTTTTTTTGTCTTTTTCAGACAGGGTCTCACTATGTAGTTCAGGCTGGCCTTCAGCTCACTTTGTAGCCCAGGTTGGTCTCAAATTTGGAAAGATCCTCCTTCCTCAGCCTTCCGAGTGCTGGGACTACAGGTGTGCACCACCACACCTGGCAATTTTTTTTTTTTTTTTTGGTATTGGGAATTGAACTTGGGACCTTATGCTTGCCAGGCAGGTGCTGTGCCACTGAGCTACATTCCCGGCCCCTTAAGTTACTCTTTGAAAGATGAGACAGAGCTCAAAAGGGACCTTATAGACAGGGACCCAGCTGTAAAAAAAAATATTGAAGAGGGACAGTAAGGAGTCACAAAATGGTTGCTTAGAACATATAGGTCTCTGATGTGGACCACTAAAGTGCTGGGCTGAATCCAGGAGTTAAAAATGTCATGTTAAAAGAATTCAGACTTGATTCCTTTGACCATAGAAGGCCAATATAGAGGTTAACATTTATTGAAACCACTGCATTCTAGAAGGTGGTTTCTATGCCTATCTCTGTAGACTATAGGCTCCTGAAGGGCAAGGATTGGAAGTACTTGTTGAATTTTGAAATATGGAGCAAAGCAGGTCTCTTAGAGAATCACTGAGGGATGTCAAATCACAAAGGCATAAGCCCGGGCAAGCTGGGGTCTCCCAAGCCCTCTGCTGGGAAGAGCCAGTCCCTCCTGTGTGAATGTTTGGAGGTGCTAGCAGGGGAGCACCGCCATGTGAACCCTTGACCACACTTGGTCTCCCACCAGGTGTGCTGCCTCGGGAGGGCCACACGTGGAGTGCTTAGGCAGGAAAGGGACGCCCACCTCGCCAGCCAGATTGGCTGAGTCAACCCTGGAGACCGATAGGCTGGTGCAGATGTAGAGGCCAGACTGGCCTCGAATCCAGGAAGCCCTTCGTGATGAACCCTGTTGGGTTCTGCTGGGATCAACTTCAGAGCCTGTCATTTATTAACAAGTGGCCTTCACTTTATTTGTTTTATCCCATCTACTTCTACAAGAATTTCAGGAGGCTTTCAGAAAGAATGCAAGCAATACAATTATATAGACTATGTAAGGAAAAAGTGGCAGTAGGGGGTAATTATTTGACTTTTTAAAAAATGGACTATGAATGGCCAGGCTATTGTTGCAAGGGACAAAATTTAATCCCATTCTGAGCTACCTGGTAGCCGGTTTAAAAGGGAAGTTTCACAGTTCTCGCTGCAACAAAGAAGACAAATCAGTCTCTCAAAGAATGCAAAGCTTTCTCTAGCACTTCATTTTCACCAGGGGATTCATTTAGGGGACACTGAATGTTAATGTTTTTAATGGCAAAATAGTTTCTAATGCAATTTTTTTTCTTTTTGAGACAGGGTCTCGCTATGCAGTTCAGGCTGGCCTTGAGCTTACTTTGTAGCCCAGGCTGGCCTCGAACTCACAACGATCCTCCTGCCTCAGCCTCCCAAGTGCTGGGCTAACAGGCGTGCACCACTGCACCCAGCTTCCAATCGAATTTTATGTGGCTTGTATGACTGGAAGTAGTGGTCCTCCATGGAAGTCTGTGAGAGAGAATGCTAGGAGGCACTGAGTAATGTGGAACCTCAGTTTCCACACCTGGAAAGTGGGTGACACGGTCTTTCTTTGCCTACCTCAAACTCACTGTGTGAACTCACTTGGGAAGTTGAACACACTCTGCAAATACTGTTAGTTATTATTAGGGGGGTCAGCTGCTTTGTCTGAGCTCATATAACCAACGAGTATCAGGGTTCAGAATAATTTCTTTGAACTTCAGTTATCTCATCTATAAATGGAAGCCAAAGTAGGTAAATTATAAAGACTAGAGGAGATGACGAGGGTGGAAATTACCTCCTCACAGGACAGTGAGCCTGTGCAAGGAGCTTGTATGGGCCTGTTTGTGCCCCACAGGGCCCGGGGGGCGGGGTTGACGTGGGAGATGGCACGGGACAGTGAGTCTCCCCTCCTGGTCCAGCCTACCTCCTGAGCTGTGGCTTCCCTCCCCGGCCGGCGCATGGGGATGTGAGTGTGACAGATCTGCACCCTGGGGGCACTGCCACCTTCCACTGTGACTCAGGCTACCAGCTGCAGGGTGAGGAGACGCTCATCTGCCTCAATGGTACCCGGCCGGCCTGGAGTGGTGAACCCCCCAGCTGCATGGGTGAGTCCCCTGCCACGGGGTGAGGGCTTCTGTCCTAGGAACCTCAGGGGGGGGTCCTATCTTGAGGTCTCCATTTCTAGGGAAGCCCATATGGAGAGGTTTCTATTCTGAAGAGTCTCCATCCTCAGGATGGAGCTCTACCCCAAGGCTCCGTGGGGAGCCTCCATCCTTGGTAGCCGCCATCTTGGATAGCCCACCTAGAGGCTTCTGTCCTGGTCTTAGAGGAAGCTATCTTTAGGGTTCATATTTTGGGGTCCTGTACCCTAGCGTCTCCATCCTGTGGCTCCCCATCCTGTAATGTCTTCCGGGGCTTCCTACCATGACGCCCTCCCATCTGAGGACAACTCCCTGCCCCAGGGTGTCTACATGTGGGGGTCTTCATTTTAACAGGACCTCCACCCTGGGGCTGCCCCTCCTGGGAGGTCTCCTTTCTCGAGGCTGGCCTGGTGAAGGTCCTGTCCCCCGGGTGAGCCCTGGACCAGAGCAGCCCGAAGATGTGGCTGTACCCAGAGCTGCTTCAACCTGTTTCCCTCTGCCCTCAGCCTCCTGCGGCGGCACCATCCACAATGCTACGCTGGGCCGCATCGTGTCCCCTGAGCCTGGGGGAGCGGCGGGGCCCAATCTTACCTGCCGCTGGGTCATCGAAGCAGCTGAGGGACGCCGGCTACACCTGCATTTTGAGAGGGTCTCACTGGATGAGGACAATGACCGGTGAGAGTCTGGGCCTCAGATCAGATGTCCCCACCTTGTGGACATAGGGAGGCTGCCGTGGGGAGTCAGACCTGCGGGAGATCTCTGTCAGGATAGGTGTCAAAGTTCAGTCCTAACCTTTTCTTAAGGAATGTAACCACACAATCTTCAATGAATCACTTAAGCTCTCTGTGCCTCAGTTTTCCCACCTCTAGAGTGGAGATAGTGGTACCTAAATGCATAATTAATAAATGCATTAACATATGTAAAGTACATGAAATGGTGCCCAGGACATAATAAGCACTACAAAAAATGTTTGCAGTCATCATCGTTATCATTTTTACTTAACCTGGTACCCCAGCTCTGCTGCTACCTGCTGTATCTTTCTCCTTGCTATGTGACCTTAGGATACTTAATCTTTCTGTACCTTGCTGTCTCCATCTATAAAATGAGGGATAATAATGGTATATGGCTCAAGAGCACTTGTGAAAATCAAACACGATAAAATGTGTCAGGGCTTAGAAGAATGCATGGCATATGGTAACGTTTGCTAGTAAAAGCTATAAAGATAAGCAAGGAAAGGCCAGGTGTGGTGGCGCACGCCTGTAATCCCAGCACTCGGGAGGCTGAGGCAGGAGGAGCGTTGCAAGTTCAAGGCCAGCCTGGGCTACAAAGTGAGCTCATGGCCAGCCTGAACTGCACAGCGAGACCCTGCTTCAAAAAGACAAAAAATAAATAAATTTTTAAAAAAAGATAAGCAAGGAAAGCAGCCAGAGGCACAGCAGCTTTGGAGGGGACACAGAGCTTCGGCCACTCTTCTGTCCATTGCAGGCTGATGGTGCGCTCAGGGGGCGGTCCCCTGTCCCCCGTGATCTATGACTCAGACATGGACGATGTCCCAGAGCGAGGCCTCATCAGTGACGCTCAGTCCCTCTACGTGGAGCTGCTCTCAGAGACACCCGCCAACCCCCTGCTGCTCAGCCTCCGATTTGAAGGTGACGATCCCCCCCTTCCCCGCCAGGCCCCACCCAGGCCCCTCTTCCTGACACGGGGCACATCACAAGCATACTCTGCCCTTTTGCTCGTTTCCGTGGTTGGTGCTCTCCAATCTGACTTCTCCAGCCCAAAACTACAAAGGTCACTTCACAGAGACTCCTTCTCGTTCCATCACTGCCATTTCTAACTCAGTTTCACGTACAAGGTATGATTGAAAAATACTGTGAATGTTTAAAACTATCTTAAAGCATATTACAGTAAAAAACACATGGCCACTAATCCCCTCAAAATATTCCCTCTCCCTTCAGACACACTTAACATTCCTGCCACTCTGAAGCAGTTCTGGAAGTCTCTCTTGTGAGTACCTTTAGTTGTGCTGTCGTAGCTGTTTGATGTCCTGAATCAATTCGAAAGGGTTGCCTCCCGTGATCATGCTGATCTGGTGGAAGAGCTAGAAGGCACAGGGTGCCAGAGCGGTGAGTGAAGTGGATGAAGACGCACCGTCATGGTCGTAAGAGCCTGCCTTTCTGTTGGATGGCGCTTGGCACAAACATTCCTGGTATTTTTGGTCACACCTCATAAAGACACAAGTGAGGACTTTCAGAACTGCTTCAGAAAATGGCAAGAATGAAGGGATAAGTGTGCTTGGAGGTAGGGAGGCATATTTAGGGGCATCAATGTCAAAATGTCTTTTAAGGCTGGGTGTGATAGTGCACGCCTGTAATCCCAGCACTCGAGAGGCTGAGGCAGGAGGATCGCTGCGAGTTTGAAATCAGCCTGGGCTACAAAGTGAGCTCAAGGCCAGCCTGAACTGCATAGTGAGATCCTGTCTCAAAAAGACAAAAAAAAAAAAAAAAAGTCTTTTAATGTAAACGTTCACCATATATTTTGATCACCCCTTGTATCGCTGGATCCAGGGCCAAAGCTGGGGGACCAGGTATCTCAGTCCCAAGGTTCTTTCCAGAGTGCTGGCTTCCTTCTCAGGCAAGCTTCCCCATGTGATGGGCCTAGCTGCACACTTACATAGAGCATCACAGTAACTCCATGGGAGAAAAGAAAAGCACACGCTTCCTGAGCCCTTCAGGAACAATGCCAGAAAGAGCCCTCTGACCTGGTTATGGTCCTGTGCCTTTGCCTGAGTCCATCACCCTGCCGGGGGCAGGGCTGTCCTTGGCAGATCTATATCACACAGCCATTGCTGGTTGGCCCCTGCTGAACCTCAAGAGCTAGGCGTACAGAGGGCCTTTTTTCCAAATGGAAAATGGGGGTGCTTTTACTAACACAAGGGGGAATGGACACTGGGCAAGTAGAAACAACCAGGACAGTGCTCATGGGAGAAGCATTAAACATGGCCTTAAAGGATGGAGGTTAATTTGGAAGACGAAGCCTGAAAGAGGCTCCGGTGAAGAGCACAAGTACGAACAAGGGTGAGAAGGTAGAAAAGTGCCCAGTATGTTTGGGAAACAGGCTTTCACTGGGGCTTGAGCAGAGGATTTGTATAAACAGTAGCAGGAGAGAGACAAAGAAAAGGAAGCAGCCAGGCGTGGTAGCACACTTCTGTAATCCCAGCACTTGGGAGGCTGAGGCAGGAGGATTATTGTGAGTTCGAGACCAGCCTGGGCTACAACGTGAGCTCAAGGCCAGCCTGAACTGAATAGCGAGACCCTGTCTCAAAAAGACAGAAAAAAAAAGGAAGCAGTCAGAGAAGGGGGGCTTGTTTCTGCTATGATTCATGGGAGAAATGGAATTGGCACTGGGCCCTGACGGGTGGGCAGGACTTGGGCCTGAAGCCTTGTTGGGTTAAGTAACAAACAGTGGATCTGCAGGAATAAAAAGCTACAGAGCGAAGAGCTCCGCCCTTTGGTAAGGGTCCTCCCGCCCAGTTGTGATGCCGCTTCCACACACGTGGACCACTGCTGCCCTGGGAGTGTCAGACTTCTCATCTGTGTCTCGGGCACGGAAGTCTCACCTCACAGGTAGTTTTGCAGCTAAGATGCCATCAGGTGGACAGAAACTAAAATGCTCCACAAATGTTCATTTTTGCTGACCGAGTCCAAAGTAAAAACTGAGCAGCTTCTGCATTAGCTGCAGTTTTAGATTCCAGCAACAGCGCAGATTATCCGAATCCAGCTGTTATCTCGGAGTAGGGAACTCACCCGCACAAGACAGCTCCCTGGGGCACCACTGCAGTCTATGGCTGGCTGTGGAACCTTCTGGGTGGGAGGCGTGGTTCTACCACTGCCTGCTAGGTGACCTTGGGCAAGTGGCTTTTGTCTGTGGATCTCTCCGTAGAATGGGGACTAGCCTCGGGGGCCGTAGGCTGGACTCTCCGTAGACTGGACTAGCCTAGGGGGCCCCTCCAGAGGCCAGCAAGATAACAACCGTGTCAGTCAGGGGTGTTCAGGTTTTTGACAAACTGGAGAATGAAAGCTAAGCTCAAGGGCACTGTGTTTTTAAAAACCCACCATGTGGCCAAACAACACCGGAATTTAAGGCCCATCTTAATGTTTAATTTTCATGACTGATTCTTTCCCAGCCTTTGAGGAGGACCGCTGCTTTGCTCCTTTCCTGGCGCATGGCAATGTCACGACCACAGACCCTGAGTACCGCCCAGGGGCACTGGCCACCTTCTCGTGCCTCCCAGGGTACGCTCTGGAGCCCCCAGGCCCTCCCAATGCCATCGAATGTGTGGATCCAACAGAACCCCACTGGAACGATACAGAGCCAGCCTGCAAGGGTGAGCCTCCACACCCACTATGTCCTTCGGCCTGCAGATGGCCCCCTAGACACCAGTGAGGCCATTCAGAGACCCAAGCCGTGGGCCAATCCTGTTCCTTCAGGGGCTGTTTCTTAGCTGAATAATCGGTGGACCTCTTACCGTGTTCAGAGGTCGCAAACTTGAATATCTCCAAGCCATAGAACAAGAGTTGGGCTAAGCCTGGGACTGGGCAGGTAAAGTGGAGGGTATGTGGGGTTAATTTAAGAATAGGGCTGGGCTGGCGTGGCGCCGCATGCCTGTAATCTCAGCACTTGAGAGGCTGAGGCAGGATGATTGCCGCAAGTTTGAGCCCAGCCTGGGCTACAAAGTGAATCCTCGGCCATCCTGCACTATATAGTGATACCCTGTCTCAAAAAGAGAAAAAAGAATAGGGCTGGGGATTGGGCACAAGACCAAGATGTGGAAAGGGCCGAGGATAGAGCCTAGTGTGAAGGCCATGGGTTCAGTCCGCTATACCAAAACGAAACAAAGACAAAACAAAAAGCAAAAACACTACCAGACAGATCATCAATACTAGGCAACATGCGAGGTGGTCTGGTGAGGGCTGTGGTGAGGGATCCTAAACCAGACGCCTCTTGTGCCCTAGCCATGTGTGGTGGGGAGCTGTCTGAGCCAGCTGGCGTGGTCCTCTCTCCTGACTGGCCCCAGAGCTACAGCCCCGGCCAGGACTGCGTGTGGGGCCTGCATGTCCAGGAGGAGAAACGCATCTTGCTCCAGGTTGAGATGTATGTCTGGGTCCCACGGAAGGTGAGGTGGGTGGGTGGGCTTGGCCCAAGGTGGGATGACAGCTTTCTGGCCTGTGTCCAAAGAGGTTCGCTGGATATAGTGTGCGGGTTCAGCACGGTGTGGGAGCCCTGGGTGCAAATCACTTATTAGCCAGGAGACTTTGGACAAGGGGGCAATGCAGCCCTTTTGTGGAGGGGCAGTGCTATTGTGAGCAAGGGATCTGGCCTGGCATCTCTCACCCTGGGGGTTTCTGAGGCTGCCCCTGGAGCGATTTCCAGGGACCCAAGCCCCAAAATGTTGGATCATTACCAACATCCAAGGTGGGCATGGGCGCGGGGAGGGCCGAGTAGGCTGACTTGATAGGAAGTGGTCACGTGACTGGATGCACCCACAAGGGGGTGTGGCCCAAAAGGTACCTTGGCGGGACTCAGTGATGTGCGGGGTGGTGAAGACTGGTCTGTGATTGGTCAGAGCCGGGTTTCCTGAGGAGGTGAAGGATGGACTGGAGTGTGTGAGAAGCTAGCAATATAAAGGACTGAAAATTAGGACGCAGGGGATGAGAGACGCCATAGAACCGGGGACTGGAGGATGCATGGGGGAAAGGTGAGGAGTGGGCTAGAGCAGCTGAGAAACTCGAGATTAATTAAAACTGAGGTTGCATAGCTGGGCATCATGGGGTATGCCTGTAATCCCAGAACTAGGGAAGCTGAGGCAGGAGGATCGCTGTGAATTCGAGGCCAGCCTGGGCTACACAGGGAGAACCTGCTCAAATGAACAAACAAAATAACCCTGTAAAACTGAGGCTGCGCCTCCCCTGAGGGCGGGGAATAAGGAGCCGAGCAGGTGGGGTTACTGATGACCCGAGCTGGGGATTGGTCAAATCAGGAGGGCGGGGTGGCCCGTCGCCCCACCTTATTGTATGTCCCACACCCTGCAGTTTGAACGTGCGGGAGGGCGACATGCTGACACTCTTCGACGGGGACGGTCCCAGCGCCCGGGTCCTGGCCCAGCTGCGGGGGCCTCAGCCGCGCCGCCGCCTCCTCTCCTCCGGGCCCGACCTCACGCTGCAGTTCCAGGCGCCTCCCGGGCCCCCAAATCCGGGCCTGGGTCAGGGCTTCGTACTGCACTTCAAAGGTACCAAGGCACAGAGACTGCGGAACGGGCAGGGGCGCGGCGGGTCAGGGGTCCCGAGAGGGGCACCAGCGCGCGGTCCCCAAGGCGGCGCCCACACTCGCCCTGTCTCCTGCAGAGGTCCCGAGGAACGACACCTGCCCCGAGCTGCCCCCTCCGGAATGGGGCTGGAGGACAGCGTCCCACGGGGACCTTATTCGGGGCACGGTGCTCACGTACCAGTGCGAGCCTGGCTACGAGCTGCTGGGCTCGGACATTCTCACCTGCCAGTGGGACCTGTCCTGGAGCGCGGCGCCGCCCGCCTGCCAAAAGAGTGAGCCGCGTCCCGCCTCCGCGCTCGCCGCCTCTCTGTGCCTCGCCCCCGCCCTGCCCTGTCGGGTCCCTGTCCTACCTGGGTTCCACCCTTCGCTCTGGATCCCGCCGAGTCTTTCTCTAGGCCCCGCGCCTACGTCCTCTGGCTCCCACCTGCGTCCAGGGCTGCGAAACTGCCTCCTCGGCTGGGTCCCTCGCATCCGCTGCGCCCTTCCCTCGCCCCTTCCCCGTCCGACCCCGCCCCTTCCCCGCCCGACCCCGCCTCTTGCCCTGCCTGAGCCCGCCCCTCGAGTTCTGCCTCCTTCCTCAGTCTCTCAGTTCCCAACCTTTGACGTCCCGGGGTCACTTTACTAGGACTAAAGCTTACCAGGGCATTTGGCTTATTGTCATGCAGTTTCCCAAGGATTTCTGGGCTGAGGAGTTATAGGAAGGGGTCCTGGCTCCTTCCCACACTTACTGAGCATACAACCTGGGAGGGAACGGGCTGCCTGAGCAACGCAGACAGGACATTACAGTGTGGGTGACTTTGGGCAAGGTCCTTAACATCTTGAGTCTGGGTGAGGAAGGCGAGGGGCTGGGAGATTTTCACCCAGGGCCTGGTGCTCTAGGCAGCGGGTAGCAGGTGCTCCTGTAGCAGGAGTGGTGGGCTTGTCCTTACCGTCTCCATATTTCGGGAAGCCTGACCCATGGATACAGGGTTGTGGCTCTTCCACATGTCCCTGGGAATCGTGGCAACGGTGGGACCAACAGGAGGAATTTTAGGAAACCAGACAAACGATCTGGCAGGCGCAGCCCCCCATCCCTGGAAGGATTCACGAAATGTCTGGCCTGCAGCTGACCCAGCTGAGGTTCAGAAGGGGTCCAAGGTAGCACCTCCAACCGGAAGCTCAGGGACCCAGGCCTCTGAATCTGTGCCCGGTGGTGCAGGCTGCGACTCTGAGCAAGTTCCAGCTCTGCTGCTCCTTGCCAGAGTGCTGGGCCCTCGGCCCCCGGGAAATAACAGCGAGGTTGACCTCAGGATAATCAAGGTTAAATGTTATGTCTGTAAAACCTGGAGCCGGGTGCCTGGCCCAGGTGCAATAAATGGTGATGATTATGACCTTCCCCAGTTGGGCTGTAACCTCACAGGCCCGCAGGGGCTGGGTAGGCTGTGCACGTAAGCCCAAGGGCTGAGCTGCCCTTCCCTGGTATGGTAGTTAAATATTTTTCAATTTTACCCCAGGGTCAGGGCCTAGGTTTGCCCTACTCACCCTGTTTTCCAAAAGAACTGTGATATATAGAACACAATGAATTTTAAATGCCCTCTTTCCTAGGAACAGCTGGGAGGTGGGAAGGAGGGTTACTCAGAGATGGCCTAAAGCTCAGGCCTCTCCCAGCTCCCAGTTTCTGGGAGAAGTCTGAAGGCACTTGCTCACCCTGACCTTGCTCTTCTGCCACCAGTCATGACCTGTGCCGACCCTGGAGAGATCACCAACGGGCACCGGACAGCCTCGGACGCTGGCTTTCCTGTGGGCTCCCATGTGCAGTACCGCTGTCTGCCAGGGTATAGCCTGGAGGGGGCAGCCGTGCTCACCTGCTACAGCCGGGACACCGGCACGCCCAAGTGGAGCGACCGGGTCCCGAAGTGCGCCTGTAAGTCCAGACACACGCCAGGAGGGGGGCTGGGTAGCCTTGGGGAGAGCCTGGCAGCCGCATGCTGGGCCTGCTCAGGGGCACAGCCGCCATGTGACCCGTGTCTTCCCTGCAGTGAAGTATGAGCCGTGCCTGAACCCCGGGGTCCCCGAGAATGGCTACCAGACGCTGTATAAGCATCACTACCAGGCTGGCGAATCTCTGCGCTTCTTCTGCTATGAGGGCTTTGAGCTTATCGGCGAGGTCACCATCACCTGTGTGCCCGGGCATCCCTCCCAGTGGACCAGCCAGCCCCCACTCTGCAAAGGTGCCTGGCGGGCAGGGCAGGAGGGGCACGTCAGTGTCCAGGGAGTGACAGGGCTGGGGAAGTTGTGTAGAAAGTTCAGGACAGCGGGTGACACTGCCCTTCTGTGGGCTGTCACCCTCACAGGCATGTCTAGAAGCCCTGGGAAAATCTGAGGTCCCAGAATTATCCTAAGGAACATAGCAGAGGGGACCTTGGTTTGGAACGCCCTTGCCCTCTCTGGATAGGCCTTAGTTTCCCGACTTTTGATAAACTCTAAAGACCTGGTTGGCTCAAACCATCCAAGAGCTTTGAACCTTAATTTAGGAGTCCAGAGAAGAAAGAAGGCCCTGCCCTGGTCAGACCTCAGGGAAGGATACAGTTCAGGTTGCGCAGAGGGCAGAGAGAACCAGGCTGTCTGGCCCAGCCCCACCGGGCTCCGGCCCTCCCCCCAGCCTCCTTCCCTCCCTGGCTCAGACCCCGTCCCTCCCCCTCCTCTCCCCGCAGTGGCCTATGAGGAGCTCCTGGACAACCGAAAACTGGAAGGTCAGTGAGGGCACAGGTGGAGACCCAGGCCTGGCCAGGTCGGGAGGGCAAGGCAGAGGCCTGGGGCAGGAGGCCAGGCCCCGGAGGGATGAAGCCCAGGCTTCAGGGCCCAGGGCAGGAGGCTGGGAGAGCCTAGGACCAGGCCCAGCCTTGGCTCACTGGCCTCTCCTCCTCCCCAGTGACCCAGACTACAGACCCGTCACGGCAGCTGGAGGGTGGAAACCTCGCCTTGGCCATCCTGCTGCCCCTGGGCTTGGTCATTGTCCTCGGCAGTGGCGTTTACATATACTACACCAAGTAAGTACCCTCTTACTGCCTGCTGGGGCTCGTATGCCGGCCTGGCACAGGGGCCTGGACAAAGGGGGCTCACGCGCTGGAAAGCCCATCTGTCCCCTCCCTTTCCAGGCTGCAGGGAAAATCCCTTTTCGGCTTCTCGGGCTCGCACTCCTACAGCCCTATCACCGTGGAGTCGGACTTCAGCAACCCCCTGTATGAAGCTGGGGTGAGCCCCTTCCCCCTCTGCTCCCCCAGGACTCCACGGCCCTTTCTCGCGTCCCTGTAATCTCTCCTTGGGAATGTCAGGCCCGGCTGCCCACAAGGCCGTGTCAACGAGCAAAGCAAACCATGTGCGAATATGAGTGAACAGTGAGGACAGTGGCTAACGGGAGAACTCACACGGCGCCTGAGGGGCACATGTCCAGCCCACGCTGGGCACTTCTGCCTCGCTGCCAGCTCTCCAGTTGCTCCAGACAATCCAGAAATGGATTTTTTATACCATTTTAAGACACCATAGCATGAACCAAACACCCACCGGCCAGATTCAGCCCTGTTCTCACTCTGTGACTCCAGGCCCCTCGTCAATTACTTGAGAAACGCAGGGTCCTCCCTCCCCTTGCGGATCCCACCTCCCACCCCACCTCCATCTCACACCCACAACTGACCTGATCTCTCCCTCCTCAGGACACACGGGAGTACGAAGTTTCCATCTGAGCGCAAGACCGAGTCTGCAGGACCCAGGACACCCCTTCCCTCCTCATTCAGGGCAGTGGGGAGCCCAGGGCCTGGTCTCTGGCTCCTGGCTTCCTTTATCCCTGCTGTGTAAATAGTTGCCCCATCCCACGATGGGGCTTTGATGGCCCTGGAGACCCTACAGTAAATAAACCAGCATCCTGCCGCCCAAAGCCGCCTCTTCTCAGTTGCCAAACAAGGGGCCTGCCCCCTACCCTGCTGGCTTTCGGACCCTGGGAAGGGAACTCAGCTCCCTTGCAACTCCCGGCTCTACCCTCCCCTTGGCTGTGAAGGCTGCTCCCCTCCCTGATGCCTGAGTCCCGGCCTCGGACAGGGGCAAAGAAGAAGGAAGCGGGGAGAGCCGGGCCAAGGTCCTGCCCCGTCCTGCTGTTTCCCTACCCACAGTCTCTCCACCTTTGCTTCTGGAGTTTTTTGGTTTTGAGCAATAAACAGAAAATCACCACTTGTAACCGGGCTGGTGGGGTGTGGGAAGGTAGGGTCGAAGAGTGTTGGAGACAGACCACGACGGGCATCCTCAGGGGAGAGAGGGCCGGGAAGGGGAAGCGCTGGGGGAAAAGGTGGGAATCCACCGCCAAGCAGGCTAGAGCAACGCATGCGTGCTGGCTTGGTATCACAAGCCCTGGCCTTCGGCTGGGCCTCTGGGAGGACTGGGTCAACCTGCCTTGGCAGCAGGCTGTGGCGCTGCCCGGTGGCTTCAGCTAGGACAGCTGACCGTGGCCAGCCCTCTCTGTCACCGTTTGGCAACAGGCAGGCAGCTTTCAATTTATGTCATGGATAATTTCCCTAAAGTCTACCTCCTTCTGAGAATTATTTTCATTCAAATGTACCATTCTCCCCCACCCAGTTTTTTGGCATCCGCTGTTACACATCTGAGCTTATGGGTGTTCTTTCTTTCTATAATGTTCAATAAACTTTTGAACGTTGTAAGCAATTTACAGCTAGAGAGTGAACGTGAGGACTTCACATGTGCGAGCATATACCCCACCACAAGCTGCACCCTCAGTCCAATTTATAGCCTACTTTTCAAAAGAGTATTTCTCTAAATGAACTAAATTTTACTTAACATAAAATTATATATTAAACTTCAACTAAACATGTTTAAGACAGGAGGGGGTGCTCCAAGGGGGGTGAATTTTCAAACATGAGGCAAATCCATCTTCATAATAGTTTAAGTTCTTTTTTAGTTTGTTTTCTGAGACAGGCTCCCTCTGTGGATTCCAGGCTGGCCTTAAACTCACTATGTAACCCAGGGTAGCCTCAAACTTGTAATCCTCCTGCCTCAGCTTCCTGAGGGCTGGGATCACAGGTGTGCACCATCACACCTGGCTTTAAATTTGTTTTCGAATCAGCACTACGTTAAGCACTTTGTATGCAATAGGTTTTTGTTTTGTAGTACTAGGAACTGAACCCAGGGAGCACTGAGCTATGTCTTTTTCATTTTATTTTGAGGCAGGGTCTTACTAATTTTCCAGACTGGCCTTGAACTTGACATCCTCCTGCCTCAGCCTCCCAAGAGGCTGGGATTATAGGTGTGTGGCCCTTCTCTGGCACCAACCACAAGTGCCCTGTGAAACCAGGTCAATTTACTATTCTCATTTTTCTTTTTCTTTTTTTGTCTTTTTGAGACACGGTCTTGCTATGCAGTTCAGGCTGGCCTTGAGCTCACTTTGTAGCCCAGGCTGGCCTCGAACTCTCAATGATCCTCCTGCCTCAGCCTCCCTACTGCTGGGATTACAGGTGTGCACCACCACGCCCGACTATTCCCATTTTTAGGATAAGGAAACTGAGGTTCTGAGAGGTAAACTGACATCCTCAGGCAGCCCAAAGGGCCCAGGGCCACTGCAATGAAAACGCCATGAGGCCTTGTACACTGACCTCCAGCTAGTGACGGGTGTGATGTGTTCCCCTAGACATGAGGCCCAAAGGAACCGCTTCCTCAGAGCAAGAGCCACGGCTCAGGATGCTGGGCACCAACAGCGGAGGCCACGGTTGCTCCTCAGAGCAGGAGTGGGCCCTCCCAAATGCCGCAGCACTGGACAGGACGGTGTTAGAGTTTGGCTGAGAGTCTAGGTTTAGATCCACGAGCTCACCTCTGCCAACAGGTGACAGATCACCGCCTGAGAGAAGGCCATCCCTATAACACGCTCACACCCTGCATCCACATCTGGAAAAAAGGGCCCAGCCTCCCACACCTCCATCCCAGAGGAGCCACACCAGAGCACCAGTTGGGGGTGGAGGTGGGGCTTCCCCGGCTCTTTATTGAAGCCTTTTCCTCTTGGCGGAGTCCTTGCTGGCTGAGAATGGAGTCACGCGATGGTTCCCAAAGGCTCCATTGGCTTCAGAGGTGACGCTGCTCGAGACCAGGAGGAGTTCCTCTCAACAGGAAGCGTTCAGCGAGTCGCAAAGGGGGCGTTTTGAGGCGTGTTCTAGAGGGACAGAATGGGGGAGGGCATGAGAGGCCAGCACCAAGAGGGCCGCCGGGAAGAGCTCCCTGCGAGTTAGAGCGTGTTGATGCTTCGGACCTAAGGCTCGTGTGTTGTTGTCACCCACCCCTCCAATCCACGCACCACCCACCCACCATTTCTCATTGAGCCAGCTCTGCACCTACCCCTCCACCCTCATCCTTCCCCATCCATCCGGCCACTCACCCACCATCTGTGCACCGTACCCTAACCATCTTTCCACTCGTCCATCATCCACGCCTCGTCAACCCACCCATCCACCCCTCCCCCTGCTATCTAATCACCCGTGCCCCCCAGCTTCACCAATCCCATTTTGCTCACACTAGCTTTAGCCCACACAGGGCCAGCACACAGCAGGTCCTTAACACACAGCCAATGAACGGCCCACCTATCCACTCACGCATTTCCCCCCCACCCCATGTACTCACCCACTACCCCTCGTAGCAATTTTTACTACCTACTACGCACCCAGATTAAAAGGTAATTCAAAGATCAATAGGTTTCTGAATTTTTCTTCATTTTTTAATTTCTTTTTCTTCCTTCTTTCCTTTCTATGTGTGACTGAGGATCAAAACCAGGGCCTTGGACAAACTAACGCACCACCATTGAGCTACACCCCCGGCAATATTTTTTTTTATGTGTGACATAGAGTCTCTTTCTTGGGTGAGAAAGAAAAAGTCTCCTGGGATCATAGAAGCCTGGCAGGGGAACCAGGAGAAGATGTCTGCTCAGGATTCAATCCTCAACCAAATACCACTGGGGAGGACATGAGGGTCCTCACAAAACATCTTGGCTTGCTGGGTATGGTGGCGCACGCCTGTAATCCCAGCACTCAGGAGGCTGAGGCAGGAGGATCCTTGCGAGTTCAAGACTAGCCTGGGCTACAAAGTGAACTCAAGGCCAGCCTGAACTGCATAGCGAGACCCTTTCTCAAAAAGACATAAAACAAACAAACAAAAAGCATCTTGACAGATAGGCAGAAGGGCACAACTTGCATAATGCTACTTTAAGCTATTTCTAATATATCCAAGTTGAGAGAGATCAAATGTCCCAAAGGCATTACAAAGTCAGCTCCACGAGGACAAGGATGGTGGTTTATTCTCAGCTGCATTTTGTCCCAGGTCTTGGTGACCAATACTTGAAGCAGTGGCCCAAGGACAGAAATGACATCCCCATGGCTTGGTAGAGCCGGCACGTCATAAAACACTCAACAAACATGCTGGCTGTCAGTTCCTGCTCTGCCTACTTCCTGAACCGCCAACCCCTCACATGGAGGGGTTCCTCAGTGAGACCCTCAGCACTGCCTTCTTTTTTACTGTACCTAAACTCTGCGGGGCCAGTACAGGCTCTCCCTCCAGTCCTAATTCCCTCAGGATGACTTCCAGACCCTATGACTAGCCTACAATCCGCACTGCCAATGTCTACAGGGCATTTCCACTTCAGGTCCCATGAGCTTCATAAACACTAGTGTGTATAACAGCAGGAACCTGAAACAAGGACAGCAGTTACAGGCAATGAGGTCTGAGAGTCCCTTGGGTTTTTTTTTGGTACCAGGAATCGAACTCAGGACCTTGCACTTGCCAGGCAGGCACTTGTGCCGCTGAGCTGTATCCCTGGCCCAGTGAGGTCTGAGAGACAGTGCAGGAGGGAATCACATGGGGCCCTGTAGCACTGGACGACACTGGCTTTTGTTCAGTCTTCAGTGACCCTCACCGACAGGGAAACACCCATGCATCTTCGCAGGGCACACACAACTCTCCCCTCATCAGTCCCTGGCTACCTTGTCTCCATCCCCCAGTGGTTACACTGTTCGGACGCCCTCTGCCCATGCCGGGTGCAGACTCACACACACTTCTCCGGTGCTCCTGCTCACTCTGCTAAGACTCGTTTCTGGGCCTTTGCTCAGGAAACCCCTACTGCTTAGAATATCAATCCTGGCCCTTGATTTCCTGGAAAATTCTTTCCTTAGATGTCACTGCCTTCAGGAAGTTCCATGATTCCTTTTCCTGTCTCAGTTGAGGTCTGGATATAAGCTGTCTTTTTTTTTTTCTTTGTAGTTCTGGGGATGGAGCCAGGGCCCCATGCCTGCTAAGTAAATGGTCCACCACTGAGCTATGCTCCAGTACAAGTGGTCTGCTCATTATTTCCATTTTTGTTATGGACACGCATCCATAGTATATTCTAATTGGTCAAGCCGGGCGCAGTGGCACACGCCTATAATCCCAGTACTTGGGAGGCTGAGGCAGGAGGATCGTTGTGAGTTTGAGACCAGCCTGGGCTACAAAATGAGCTCGAGACCAGCCTGAACTGCATAGCGAGACCCTGTCTCAAAAAGACACAAAAATAAAAAAAATTTTTAATTGGCCATTCACTTGTCTTCTGTCACATGAAACAGAATTCTTCAAGGCCCGAAACGATGTCATTTATTGCTAGTTCCCAGCCTCCTACAACAGGCACTGGACAGCTGTGCAAACCCCCTAAGTCTGGCTAACATGGAATTGCCGTGCGCGTACCTTGTCATGAGGGGATGGCCGGAGGTGCGCCTTGGTGCGAGTACGGTTTTTGTCGCAGCTAGAGACGGCAGAAGAGAAGCAAGAAGGCTAAGAACGCTGAATGTGAGGATCAGGCAAGCGTGTAAACTGCATGGCTCCAGCTCCCCCCCAGCCCCCGCCCCCGCCCCAAAGCCCTTGCTGTCTGCCCCCTCCAGGCTCCTGCTCTTCCCCCCAGGACAAAAGCCGTCTTCCCCAACATCACTTACTCACCAGGGGTCTGTGCCTTGACTCTGGGTGAGGAAGGCTGGAAGAGAGGCTCAGTCAGAGACATGACTATGCCACAAGCCAGCAAGAGGCAGGACTGGGGCAGAAGAGGCCAAGGGGACTCCTGGCCCCAGGGAGGAGTGGGTACAGGGTTAGTGAGGTAGGGGCACTGTGCCTCCCACTGGCTCAGAGACGACGCGCATGGCCAGGTTCCCGGAGAAGTCAGCTGTGGTGGAGAGGGGATCAAGGACTGGAACTAGACAGGTGGCAGGGTCTCTAAACACCGTGCTCCTGAGTGGAGGATCACCGTGTTTGGACATCTGAGTCCCTTGGTCTTTTGTCTGCTTTTTCTTGAGGGGCACAGGGTACATGTGGCAGCGAGCAACAAACAAGGCCTCTTCTGTGAGTTCCGTGCTGATCCGAGTCAGGGATTCTTCAGAACGAGACACCGAAGCCTTCTGGGAAAAGACAAGCCCAGGGGCTCAGCCGGGAACTCCCACTCAGTCTGGGGGCCCCGGGTTTGGGGGCTCTGGCGCTGGGACAGCCAGGGCCTGAAGAGTCTGGCACTGGGGGTTTGCGGTCTGAGACCCGCCCAAAGGCCCCAGATCTGGTGGAGCCATGGGTGGGGCCTAAACCTAAAGGCTCGGTATCAGCGCTGGAGTCTCAGCGCTTGTGGCTCAGACCCAGGTCTGCGCGTCTCTGCCTGGCAGCACATCTCAGCACACTCCCACCTCCAGCACTCCGGGCCAGCACTCACCGGCCCTCCACTCAGGGTCAGTGCAGCCTCAGGCGGCCAGCTGTTTCCCTCCTCCTTGACAGGAGTGGATGCCATGCCCTGGGAACAAAGCCCGTGTCAGCCTGAGGAAGCAGCCCCTCCCACAGAACCCATGTGCCACCATTTTTCCAGCCCAGGTTAATCAAAGACTTTAGATGAAACAGTCCTCTCTCTGAAAAAAAAAAAATTTTTTTAAGCCAAGCTTAGTGGTGGATGCCTATATTACCAGCACTTAAAGAGGCTGAGGCAATGTCACAACTCACCTGGCAAAACTTTAAAAAAAAAAAAAAAAAAAGGCCGGGAGTGGTGGAGCACGCCTGTCATCCCAGCACTCTGGAGGCTGAGACAGGAGGATTCTTGAGAGTTCGAGACCAGCCTGGGCTACAAAGTGAGCTCAAGGCCAGCCTGAACGGCATAGCAAGACCCTGTCTCAAAAAGACAAAAAAGCTAGAAAAACATAGCTAGAGAAAAAAAAAAAAAAAAAAAAAAAAAAAAAAAAAAGTTGGGGGGGAGGCTAAGGCAAGAGAATCGCAAGTTCGAGGCCAGCCTGTGTTATTACAGCAAAACCCTGTCTCACCAACCATCACCACCCATTGTTGGGGCACTGTCTTTTTTTTTCCTCGGTAAAGCGGGCTCCCACAAGAACCCCCTCCCCAATTTCGCCAAGAAAGTCTCTTCTTCCCTCCTGTGGCCTATCCCATGCCAAGGCAGCCTACTTGCCGCCGACCACCCTCAGCAGATGGGTAGAAACCTTGGGACCCTGGGAAGGAGGGGAGAAGAACAGGTCCGCGGGCTCCTATTTCGGGTCGCCGGGGATGGGAAGTCGGAGCCGGGGAGGAAGGCTGGAAAGAGGGGGAGCCAGGGTGGCACCGCTCCTGGTTCTTCTGAGAACCTCAATGTTTGCGGAGCTTCTGCAGCCCCGTTGCTAGGAGATTAGGGGTTCTAGAACCAAGGACGAAGGTACTGTTCTAGCGTGCCCCGTTCACTCTTCCGGCCTCCCCTCCTCCTGCCTCCTCGGGGCTTTGAGAAGTTTGGAGGGATGACGCAGGATGGATCCTGATTCCCTAATCTTCCCACCACTAGGGTGCTCCTAGAAGCAAGGACCCCGCCCTCCCCCGCCCTGCAGCCTCTCTAGCCACAGCTTCCCCGCCCAGAGCCAGCGAGAGCTAAGGCTGCCGGAGCCTTAGGGGGCGGGGAAGGAAAATGTGGACTGTACTAAATCCCCTGATATCCAGGGGAGGCGAAGACTCAGGAGGGCGGAGTCTTACAGCCTTCTCTTTGTCTGCCCCAAGTTTTACCCTCCGTGAAAAGCGAGGTAGAATTATTTATGCAAGGCTCCTACTTTGCTCCTGATTTCATCTCCTTCCTTGGCTCGGGGCCGGCAGATCTTTGCTCCCTCCCCCCATCCTTTGAGCTTTGGTACGAGCCGATGCTAAGAGGCCAAGGCAGGACGAGGAAAAGGAAGCAGGCAGATTTTAAAGGGGACGCAGACTTTTTATTTTTAAAGCGGCTTTCTCCAATTTCACAACGACAGGCTCTGAGTAGATTTCCAGAAGCCAAGCACAGCTGGAGCAGCCAGCATCGCTGCTGCTGGAGGTGGGAGCGCCAAGGGCCGGGAGGAGGCGTGAGATTGCCCATCGGAAGGGTGGGGTGGGGTGCACTTGCCCTCTGCACTCCAGGCCCCGGCCGGCTGCGGAGCTGAACATCTGGGTCCGGGCAGGGACAGCGGGGTCCAGTGCGCAGGTAGCGTGGCCCATGCGACTGGCCAGAGGGTGAGGCCACGCAGGTAGGGGTGAGACAGAACGGGCCCCTCCCGAGCGGGCCCTGGGCAGCAAGGAGGCCGCCGCGATGCCAGGCGAAAACATCTTCCTGTTCGTGCCTAACCTCATCGGTGAGTGACGCCCGCGGCCCCGGGTCCGATGGGAGGGCGCGGGGTTCGGGCAGACTCCCTGATCCCGCCGTGTCTCCGCCTTCCCGTTCCAAGGTTATGCCCGGATTGTCTTCGCCCTCGTTTCTTTCTACTTCATGCCTTGCTGCCCGCTCACGGCCTCCTCCTTCTACCTGCTCAGCGGGCTTCTGGACGCTGTCGACGGACACGCGGCTCGAGCCCTTGATCAAGGTAACAGATGCCCCTCCCCGCCAGCCCTGGGGCCCGACGCCCCCTTGCCCCTTCTCCCTGCCCGCTCGGGACTTCGGAGTCGGAGGGCTCTGTCCTTCCCATCTCTGTAGCAAGCAGAGCAGAATTGCCTGGTTTTGCAGAAGAAATTTAAACTTGCTCCAGAAAATTTCCTGCTTGTGAGAGGGATGGAAGCGCAAGACCAAACGTGGCCTTGACATTGATAGAGGCCTCTGAATAATATTGCATTCAACAGGTGTTTACCAGGGCCTGCTGTGTGCTGGGCTCAAGCAGTAGGACACCAGCAGGCAGGCTGAGAGGGGAGAGGAGGGTTGATTGCTTCATTAATCCGAAGTCTAACAAAGTGAACTCAAGGCCAGCTTGAACTGCATAGTGAGACCCATTCTCAAAAGGAGAAAAAAATAAAAATAAAAATAATCTCATGTCCAGACCCACCTGCTAAGACTTCCCCTAGCTGGGTATGGCTTATACACACACACACACACATGCCTGTTCAAGGCCAGCCTGGGTTACATAGAGACCCTGTCTTTTTTTTTTTTTTTCTTTTTTTTTTTTGAGACAGGGTCTCGCTATGCAGTGCAGGCTGGCCTTGAGCTCACTTTGTAGCCCAGGCTGGCCTCGAACTCACAAGGATCCTCCTGCCTCAGCCTCCCAAGTGCTGGGATTACAGGAGTATACCACCACGCCCAGCTTTGAGACCTCGTCTCAAAAAAAAGCCTTCCCTTAATTCTGCCTGTCTTGCCTGGGGGAGCCTGCATTCTGAGGTTGAGTTGCAGACACCCCCCACATGGTTCCCTCCACACTGTCATCTCCTGCCTCTGTGACCCTTGCACTATTCTCACACCTACTGACAGCAGCCTCTTTTCCTCCCTGGGCTGCACATGGTGGACATGTTCAGTATGCTTTTAGCCTGTATCAGGGCGGTATACCATGTAAGGGCACTGCCCCAACAACCCCTTCCCCCCTAATAGTCCCTGTTTTCCAGGAACACGGTTTGGGGCCATGCTGGACATGCTGACGGACCGCTGTTCCACCATGTGTCTGCTGGTCAACCTGGCCCTGCTGTACCCTCGGGCCACCCTTCTCTTCCAGCTCAGCATGAGCCTGGATGTGGCCAGTCACTGGCTCCACCTGCACAGGTCTGCCCTGCTTCTGGGTGCTGACAGCCGTAGACACCGCAGTGGGGAGGGCGTCTGGGATGGCCGCGGGCTTCTCCGGATGTCTGCTGTTAGGTTCTGCTTTGCTGAACGACCCCAGGCAAGCTGTCTCTCTGTGGGGTTACACAGTTCCTCAGCCCCTTCTGGCTGGCTTTCTGGGGATCCAAGTGATGTGAGGACTGGTTGGGTGTTAGCGGTAATGAACGCTCACCCATCCTCCCTGTTTCTCCCCAAGCTCCGTGGTGCGAGGCAGTGAGAGTCACAAGATGATCGACCTGTCTGGGAATCCTGTGCTCCGGATCTACTACACATCCAGGGTGAGCCCTTCTGTCCTTCCCCGCTTCACTGGGCCGTGTGTGGGAAGTCCTGGCTGAACCCTGGCCCCAGGTCTGGAGAGGGCACCGACAGAGGCGGGCCCTGGAGGACGCTGGGGAGGAGGAGCCTGTGGGTTGTCCAGAGGGCGAGAGGGTGGTGTGAATCTTCCAGCAGAGGTGCTAAGGAGGCCTACAGCACCCCAGGGGAGGAGCTGAGGCTGGAAGGAGGAGAGGGAGAGAGAAAAGCCAGAGAAGTGTGTGTGAGGATGCTGGGTGTGGCCTTCAATCTGGGAGCCTGGGCCGCCTCCGGAAGGGGTTTTACGGAGAGGGGTGATCTGCTGAGACGGGCTGCCCCCTCAGCGGCGGAGGGTGGCAGGGGCACAGGGCCTGCCTCTTGTTCAACAGTCTGCTTTTTGTGCAGCCCGCTCTCTTCACGCTGTGCGCTGGAAACGAGCTTTTCTACTGCCTCCTCTACCTGTTCAGTTTCTCCGAGGGACCATTAGGTAGGCCAGGAGGGGCTGGCAGGAGGGTGGGAGGGGGTCCTGCCCTGTCCCTGCCCGGTCCCTGTGCTGGCATCTGGGCCCCTCCGTCTCGCTCTCCCGCGCACACACTGTTTGTTGCCTCCCGCAGTGGGATCCGTTGGGCTTTTCCGAATGGGCCTCTGGATCACTGCCCCCATCGCCTTGCTCAAGTCTGTCATCAGCGTCATCCACCTGATCACTGCTGCCCGCAACATGGCTGCCCTGGATGCAGCAGACCGTGCCAAGAAGAAGTGATCCTGGAACCTCCAGCCCTCACCTGCCCGGTGTCTCACAGCGCCACACGGCCCCCTGCCGCTCCCAGGAGGCCCCAGTCTCACGTCTTCCTGTGTTGTGTTCTCCACCCTGTGGATGGGGTCAGCCTGTCTCTGGTATTGTCACCATGTCTGCCATCCTGTGGGCCCATCCCTGGGGTCCCCAAGGACCTGGGCTACAAATGAAGGATGCTGAGAGCTCCCACCCTTACAGCCGGCTGGGTACCGGGGGCCTCTCTCTGAGGGCTGAGCACCGCCACACCTGCTGCTGGCCGGGCCCTAGGCTCCACCTGGCCTGCGAATTTAGGGACGCTTGAGTGCCAGCGATAAAGTAGGAGTTGGCTTTCCAAAAGACCGAGGACCAGACCTCTGTTCCGGGCCAGATGAAGCCTGGGGCACCGTGCCCGAAAGGAAAGAGGTTGTCGGTCTCCCCGATCGGCCTGGCCCAGCCCTGGAAGCCTCCGTAATAAAGGCAGGAGCTTCACTCTTGTGGGTGTGCTTTCCTTGGAGTTCTGGGCTCAGGGTCTGGGTTGAGGGGAACATGGAGAAAAAGGAAACTCTATGTGAATGCCCTCCCCCCCAGTTTTCCTGCTGGCCCCTTCCTGTCACGTGGCACAGTGCCACCCTGCAGAGAGGCCTTCGTGCCACCCGGCTCATGCTGCACTTCTCTGCCCACCTACTTCGTCTGCTTTTATTTGTATTCTGGGTATTTTCTCCCCCGGCTAGAATATGAACTCTGGGAAGGCACAGACTTTTCTTCCTTTCTCTGTGTAGAATGAAGATTAACCTTCACCTAGCATATTGTAGGCTGCTTAATAAATATTCTTGAAAAGATCAGTTGGTTTCGCAGAGTGGGGTCCTTAGACTGCCTATTGGATCGTTTTGTTTTGTTCTGTTTTTTCATTTTTTAAGTTTCTATCATGGTACTGCGCGTTGCACTGAGGGTCTTCGCACTGAGCTATATTGTCAGCATTTTATTTATTTTACTTTATTTTATTTTTGTCTTTTTGAGACAGGGTCTCCCTATGCAGTTCAGGCTGACCTTGAGCTCACTTTGTAGCCCAGGCTGGCCTTGAACTCCACAAAGATCCTCCCGCCTCAGCCTCCCAAGTGCTGGGATTACAGGCGTGTGCCACCACACCTAGCCTAGTCAGCATTTTAAAAGAAAAATTAGGGACTGGGGATGTAGCTCAGTGGCACAGTGCCTGCCTGGCAAGTGCAAGGTCCTGAGTTGGATCCCCAGTACCCCCAGAAAAACATTTTTTTTTGGGACAGGGTCTTGCCAAATTGCCCAGGCTGGGTTCAAACTTGTGGCAAGTGCAAGGTCCTCAGTTTGATTCTTGGTACCAAAAAAAAAAAAAAAAAAAAAAAAAAACTAGAGCAGCAAAGAGGCTCCTCGTGTGCTCTAAAAGTAATCTCTCCTGTCTCAGCCTCTCAGAGTGCTAGGCTTATAGGTGTGCACCACACCTGGTAGAATAGTTCTTAAAATGTTACCACTTGCCGGGTGTGGTATCATTGATTACCACATGCCTGTAATCCCAGCACTCTGGGAGGCTGAGGCAGGAGAATCCCTGTAAGTTGGAGACCAGCCTGGGCTACAAAAGTGAGCTCAAGACCAGCCTGAACTGCATAGTGAGACCCTGTCTCAAAAAAGACAAAAAAAAAAAAAAAAATGTTAGCACTTGGGCCACAGAATGTTACCACAGAATCTTCAGAAATGGGCCAAGTCTATAATTTTGATAAATTCCAGGCCATTCTTCCCAATAATGTTGAGGATCATGTTCCTTCTTAAACATTTCTGGAGCCGGGCGTGGTGTCCCACTCCTGTAATCCCAGAACTCGGGAGACTGAGGCAGGAAGCTTGCTGAGAGTTTGAGGTCAGCCTGGGCTACAAAGTGAGACCCTGTCTCAAAAGGGATGGCGGGGGGCAGCTGTCATTTGCCACGTGCTGGGCATTGTTCTGGGGCTCTGTCCCTATCCACTGCCCCTGCCACCTAAGTTTTTCTTCTGTCCTGTGCCAAGTAAACTTTTTTGGTGTTCCTGGGGATTGAGCTCAGGCTCTTGTGCGAGCACTTCCCACTGAACTACATCCCCAGCCACTAGAAACCTTTCTACACTGCATTGGATCTACCCTATGCCAGCTCCTGTGCCAGCGCTCTCGGCAGACGTTCCTCATTCCATTCTCAGAATAGCTCAGCCGGGTGGCCAGAGCAGGCTCCTGCGCCTTGGAAAACAAATTCACCAGGCATGCACTGGGCCTCAAGTCCTGGGGGAGGCCCAGGGGCGTCCACGGGAACTCGCCGCTGGCTGCCCAGCCCCTTGGAAGGTTCTGAGCGCTGGGTAAGCGGTGGACACACGGGGAGGTGCTTGTGCGGATGGGATGGAAGGTGCCACAGCTCCTTCGGGAGCGTTGGGTGAAGGGCGGAGCTGGTAGCGACCGGGAGGCCTGCGGCCGTGCTCTTAGCTGGGGGAGCGGTGCGAGGCGGGGAAGCCAGACGGCACCCAGGCAGTGACAAACGCAAGTAGACCTGGATGGGACAGGTGCCCAGCGATGCGTGTTCTGCACAGAGGAGCATAAGTAAAGAGGGAGGGGTCCCCCACGGTCCCCAGGAAAGGCGTGCGGTCCAGCAGGACTGTGACCCATCCTGGCAGATGACAACAGGTGAAAAACTAGAGGAGAGGGCCGGGGATCTAGCTCAGTGGCACAAGCGCCTGCCTGGCAAGAGCAAGGTCCTGAGCTTGATTCTTGGTACCAAAAAGAAAAACTAGAGCAGCGAAGAGGCTCCTCGTGTGCTCCAAAAGTAATCTCTGAGGAGATTTAACTGACCTTGTCAAAAAAAGTATATATATATATATCAAGTATATAAGTATATATATGAAATACATATGTACATATATATGCAGATTAAAATAAAACAGAGCTAGGCTAGATAGTTTCATATCTAGGAGCTTGAGACACTGTAGCTGCTGTTATCAGCAGTCTCCAGCTGCCCTGATATTTTAGCCCACAGCCAGGAGAAGGCAGGACCCCTAGTACACCCGCTCTTCCGAAAATGTGTGCTTCAGGGCTGGGCATGGCAGTGCACGCCTGTAATCCCAGCACTCAGGAGGCTGAGGCAGGAGGATCATTGCAAGTTAGAGACCACCCTGGGCTACAAAGTGAGCACAAGGCCAGCCTGAACTGCACAGCGACACCCTGTCTCAAAAAGACAAAACAAACAAACAAAATCAACGAAGATGTGCCCTTCAGCCTCAGTGTTATCTTAATGTACTTTCAAGTACTCCTCATGATTTGGCTTCTTGTGTGCTTATAGGATAAAAATTTAAATGTTAATGGCTGAATGGTCCTAAAAATGTAGATATCTTTAGTGTATGCCTTGGCTATTGTTATAATTAAAATAAGAGGATGGAGGGTTTCTTAGGGAGGAGTCTGTATCTCTTAAAGTCTATCTGGCGTTTTTTAGTTAGATTGCCTTTTTTTGTGACAGGGTCTCACTATGTAGGTCAGGCTGGCCTTGAATTCAGTATGTAGCCTAGTTTGGTCTTGAACTCATGGGGATCCTCCTGCCTCAGCTTCCTGAATGATGAGGTTACAGGCATGCACCACCACGCCCATTTAACAACAACAACAAAAAAGAATCAAGTTATATCATGTGCAGGTACAAATTTCCTATGATGAATGTAGTTATTATGTATGCCTAAAATGTACCAATAAACTTAGTTAGAAAATTTTAAAAGCCATACATCTACATCCTGGGCCTTTCCCTTTCTCATGTAAATTGGGCTGTCCTTTCATGTGTCAAATGAGCCATTCTCCTGTAAACCAAACTAAAATTTTCTATAGATTCACAAATTCCTGACTTCTGGCTCCCAACACTTAAATATTCCCAGCTGCAGACCTAATGCATGTTTCTCTTGAGGGTCCTATATGCTACTTTCTCAGAGTATGTACTTACAATTCTGCCTTAAAAACTTCTATGGCTCTCCACAAAAAAGGAAGCCAGGTGTGGTGTGGAGCATACCTGTAATCCAAGCACTGGAGCCTAAGGCAGGAGGGTCACCATGAGTCTGAGGCCAACCTGGTCCACATAGTGGGGCCTGTCTCAAAAATACAAAGAAGGGGGCTGGGGATTTAGCTCAGCAGCACAGCACCTGCCTGGCAAGTGCAAGGTCATGAGTTCAATTCCTGGTACTGGAAAAAAAAATACAAAGAAGGAAAAAGGAAGAGCAAGAGGGAGTGAGGGAGGGAAAGAAGGAAGGAAGGAAGGAGAGAGGCGGAAGGAAGGAACCCAGGGCCTCACACATGCTAGGTAATCTGTCTACCACTGAGCTACATCCCCCAGCACTTTTTATTTTTTGAGACAGGCTCTTGCTAAATTGCCCAGGTTGACCTTGACCTTGAATTTGCAATCCTTCTGCCTCAGCCTCCCAAGTATCCTAGATTACAGGTGTGTGGTACTGTGCTGTTTCCGTATTCTAGCTTTCATTTCATATATTGGCTGTTAGTGCGCTGCTAATGCACGCTACTACATCTCTAAGCGATTTTTCCACACATTATCTCGCTTCGTCTCACGACTGCAATCTATCACGCAACAGTCCTGCTAATGTGCTCATTCTCCAGAGAGGAAATTCAGCTGGGGATGTAGCCCAATGCAGAGATGAAGTGTTCTGATTCACTCTCCAGTTCTGCCAAAAACACCCCAAAAAGACGAAGAAGAGGGAGGAAGAGGGGGAGGGGAACAGAAGGAGAGAAGGAGAGGAAGAGGAAGAGAAAGAGGAAGAGGAAAGAGGAGGAGAAGAAGAAAAGACAAAAGAGAGAGCTGGAGAGGAAAGTACTTTCCACCTAGGGCGAAATGTGGGTACATCCTGAGGGCCCTGAGGACTGAAGGCCTAGCACCCGCGATCAGAACATGCACAGGAGGCCTCCCACCCCCAGGCCCAAGTCAGTGCATTTGACATATGTGCGATGCCGTTGGGGCTTCGTATATGGGTTTCTGCATCTATGGATTTCAAACAGATTGCCAGACATAGTGGTGCATGCCTGTAATTCTGGCATTCAGGAGGCTGAGGCAAGAGGATCGCTGTAAGATCAAGGTCAGCCTGGGTTACGCAGTGAGTTAAGGACAGCCTGAACCACACCGTGAGACCTTGTCTCAAAACTCAAATGAAAATAAAAAAGTATGCAGGAGGCCAGATATGGTTGCACACACCTGTAATCCCAGCACTCGGAGGCTGAGGCAGGAGAATTGCAACGAGTTTGCAGCCAGCCCAGGCTATATACTGGGTTCATGACCAGCCTGAACTACACAGTGGATCCTGTCTCAAAAAACCAAATAAAATAAAATAAAGTGGGGCTGGGGATTTAGCTCAGCAGCACAGCGCCTGCCTGGCAAGCATGAGGTCATGAGTTCGAATCCCAGTACCAGAAAAAAACCAAAAAATAAAATAAAGTGTACAGGAGGATGCACATAGGTTATATGCCAATACTGTGCCATTTTATTCATGGGACCTGAGTGCCCTTGCACTTGGATTTCTGTGGGAGTCCTGGCACTGATCCCTCACAGAGTCCAGTGAATGATGGCTGAGTAAGAGATTCCATCTCACCCAGGAAAGAACGGCCATCATCAAGAAATCAAATAAATGCTGGCAAGGCTGCAGGGAAAACAGAACCACAACCGCATTGCTGGTGGGAGTGTAAACTAGTGTGACCACTATGGAGATCGGTATGGAGATTCCTCAAAAACTAAAAATAAGAATTCCATTTGACCCACTCTTCTAGGTCTCTTCCAGAAAGAGTTAAAGAATTTATATTGCAGGTGGGCTTTCACAAAGATGGT